AGTCTTAGAAGTCTGCCTACCTTAGTCACTAATACCAATCTACAGGGTCAAGACAAAAAGAGGAGTTAACACCAATAAAAGCTCATTGTTCTGTATAGAATTATGTGATGATATACTTGCGTGGGCCCTTTAAAATGTTGGTTTCTCAATGAAAGTGACTAATCATTAAAGGGTTTGCTTAGTGCCTCACACAGGGCTGTGTAGCATATACTCTAGAAGGTCAATAAATACAAAAATAATATACAAAGATATATACAACAATTTTTGAAACAAAAAGTGTGTTTCTGTCTAGTTACTTGGAAATTCTAGTGGAGACTTCATAAAGTGTGCTTTTTAGCATGATTCTTCCAAGAGTGCCGTTAAAAATGACACTCAAGACTTCACTTTTTTTTTTTAACAAATACAAATTTCCCAACATCTGTCAAAGTGTAACTCCTAGACTACTTTACACTGAACTTACAAATGTGGCACTGAAAACAAGTATTTCTTGTAGTCTGCCAAATTTCTGCCACATTGGAAAATACACAGATGATTGTTTAACACAGTGTGCCACTAGACAGGAATTATATTTCACATCTTAATGAGAAAATACTTTCTCTGAAGCTTAACTTGTTGCATTAAAAAAGTTAATTAGTAATTCAACCATTTAAAACTACTTTAAATACCAGCAGTCACAAAGCGATTTTCAATTCCACAAAGAGCAGAATCCAAAATGAACTTTCAGAATATAATTTTTTAAATCATTTTTTAAAACCTAATGACTAAAGTAAGAGAAATAAACAGTCATAATCCCACCACCAAGAAATAACCACTATTATATATTTTGGTATAGATGTAGGTATAGATCCATAGATCTACATCTAAGTCTATACTTATAGATCTTTTTAGACATTTAAATGTGTATATAATTGTACCACAAATGAGACCATACTCCTTCTTGTAATGATATATGAAATTGTTAAAAAATAAAGATTAACAGAGTAACTGATTTTCAATGAGGCCTTGCTGAACATGTTTCTAGCAGAGTAATGTCAGCAGCAGGTTAACTGAAAGCTACCCAGAGCAACAGGGCAGCCCTGCATACATTGCCAAAGCTGTTTTTCCCAAGTGAATGACCTAAAAAAACAGGTAAGAAAGAGCATCTGATTTGTGCCATAGTGTTTTAGCCACACTATTTTGATTAATACCTCATATAGCTTTTTATATCTTCTATAGCTTTTTATTGTTAGGCCACTCCCTCCTTAAACTCTTTCTTGGGTGTCTAAAACTAAAGTATTAGCTTCTGAATCACTGAATTATTATTTGTTCTCAGAATCTCACTTCTGATGAATCTTTCTCTGACATCTTAACCAACTCTGCTTCCCTCTTCCACCCAAACTATTGGGTTGTCGGAAAAGTCATGATGTGTGTTTGCAACAGATGGTACTAGTTCATTTTTGGAAGTCCTAGAGTAATTCGCATCTATGTTATTGCTATGTCATTTAACAGCTGACAGTTCTAGCTTCATTCTAAAAAAAACTTGAATGATTTGGTTGAGTTTTGGAGATTGTACAAGTTGAAGATGGAAAACCAAACTATGCATTTTTGCTCTATTTTACTGTTTTACTTCCATGAAAGGAAGAACGCGCATCAAGCTTGTGAAAAGTTGCATAAAGTTTACAGTGACAACGCTCTACAAGAATGTCAGTGCCAACAATGGTTCACGAAATTCTGTGCTGGTGATTTTGATCTCAACAACGCTCCTCGGTCAGGGAGGCCCACGGCGGTTAATGACGACAAAATAAAGGCATTGATCAAGTCACACCCACGTTACACGACACGAGAGACTGCAGAAATGTTGAACATCCATCATTCAATTCGTTCACAACCACCTAAAGAAGCTGGGATACTAAGCAAGCTCGATATTTGGGTTCCGCATGAACTCGAAGAAGTTCATTTGACAGTGTGTATAAACATCTGCAATATGCTCATTAAACGTGAGGAAAACGATCCTTTTTTGAAGCAACTGATAATGGATGATGAGGAGTGGATTGTTTACAACAATGTGGTGCGCAAACGGTCTTGGTCCCGACGTGATGATTCACCTCAAACGACATCGAAAGCAGACATTCATCAGAGGAAGGTTATGCTCTCAGTGTGGTGGGATTTTAAAGGTGTCATGTTTTTTGAGCTCCTACCAAGGAACCAAACAATCAATTTTAATGTGTACTGTTGGCAATTGGACAGTTTGAATGAATCCATCATCCAGAAACGTCCAGAGCTCGTTAATTGTAAAGGAGTTGTGTTCCATCATGACAACGCGAGACCACACACAAGTTTGATCACCCGTCAAAAATTATTGGAGCTTGGATGGGATGTGTTGCCACATCCACCATACTCGCCTGACCTTGCACCATCAGACTTCCACTTGTTTTGCTCTCTTCAAAACTCCTTGTGTGGTATAACGTTCAACTCAGATGAGGCTGTAAATCAGCACCTTGTTCAGTTTTTCGCAAATAAAGACAGGTCTTTCTATGAACGAGGAATTCTGAAGTTCACTGAAAGATGGCAAAAGGTTATCGAACAAAACAGGCAATATATCATTGATTGATCTTTGTTCTTTATATAAATAAATCACCTTTGAAAAACACTGACAAAATACGTCATGACTTTTCCAACAACCCAATAGTTGGCATAGTTACTGACTTGCTATATTTCTCTTTTTCCTACTTCCTCCCTCACTATCATTTATGGCCTCATGGTTTCAATGATTAGTTCTATTCTAGAAACTCTTTTTTTTTTTTTTTAAGCTGAGCCATCCATCCTGCCACCTGTTGGCAGCTCAGCGGCAGCTCAACTCAGGCTGGGAATCAATCCGGCAACCCTGCTGCTCAGAGCTCGCACTCTTGAGCGAGCTCTTAACCAACTGAGCCACTCGGCCGGCCCTTAGAAACTCTTAAACCTATCTCACCTCACACATGGGTAAACAAAACTCATCCACCTGCCCTCAAATTACCTGACATCTCTCCTCTTTTTCCACTATTGTTCCTTTATCCACGAGTTATCTTCAATGTCTCCCTTCCATTTATCCTAACAGGTCTCTACCTATTAAATCATGCTTCAAGATACCTCCAAAATGTGTTCATTCCTTGCAACTTTCTTTGCCTTCACCCTAATCCAGACCAAAAGGGCCTCACAACTGGACTTTAGCAATGTCCTGAATGGGATTAGGGTTCATCTGTCCCCATCCTTCTGCCCCGCTTTCTAGGCTACTCACTGTGCCAATCAGTGCAAGATAAGGAAAGGGGACCTGAGCTTGACATCAGGGGCCCAAGAGTAAATCTCCTCTCTGCCCCCTCAGATGTGACCTTCCACATATTTCTGTCCGGTCTTTAGGCCTGGGAATTTCCTCATCTGTAAAATGGCAAGCTGCACTATCCAGATGGGCTCTCTTGTAACTCTAACCATCTCCTATTCTGACGTGTCTTTGCTCAGGGAACAGCAGTGACCACCTCGGTAGCATGCCTCCGCCCCTCCAAGATCACAGCTGTCACCCACTGTCTCCCAGCTTGCACTGTCCCCTACATCCTGATTGCTTACTTTATCATATCCCTAACGAGCCCCAGTCTTTCCACTGTAAGTGTCAGTTCCTTGTTTTGTTGTTCTCCTTCATTTACAAATTATTCATTTATGGAGTGACTGCTAATCCACAAAGTACTTTGCCAGGTCCTGGGAATAACGAGGTAAAAGACATAATCCTTGCCCTCAAAGAATTTACCATTTTATTGGAGATATGGGTAAGTAACAAACATATAGAAGCGCGGCAAGTGCTATGCTAAAGAACTTAATATGTCCTAGTTGTTTGGGGGCAGAAAGCAGCATCACTTAAGACTGAATGCATAAAAAGGCTTCAAAAAGGATGTGCTACATACAAGCTGAGTCCTTCAATCTTAAAAGAGAAAATAAGGATTAATGGGATGGCTGAGTGGCTCAGTTGGTTAAGCGTTAGCATAAGAGCACAAGCTCTGAGCAACAGGGCCACCAGTTCAATTCCCACATTGGCCAGTGACGCTGTGCCGGAGCTGAGCTGCCGCTGAGCTGCTAAAAGGTGGCAGGATGACTCAGCTGGTGAGAGCACGTGCTTCTAACAAGACTGCCTGTTTGATGGTGGGCTAGGCCCGCCTGCAAGTAAGACTGAACTCAGCACCTTGAACTGAGCTGCTGCCCGGATGGCTCAGTAGGTAGAGCATGCGCTCTTAACAACAAGGCTGCTGGTTCAACTCCCACATGGGATGGTGGCTATGCCCACCCGCAACTAAGATTGTACACAGCACCTTGAGCTTACAGGCCACAAGCTGCCGATGGGCAGCCAGATGGCGACTGGCACCCTCCACAACTAAGATTAAAGAACAACAACTTGGCTGGTCCCACTCCCCAATTCCCCAACACTGTTCCCCTCCCTCAATTCCCCAATTAAAAAAAAAAATAAGATTAAGGAGGAAAGAAAGCGTGTCCTATTGGTACCTTGAGAAGTGGAGAAGTGAAGTTAAAGTTTATTAGAAAAGGGCACAGTGGGCCAAGAGCCCGATTGGAATACTGGAGTACAGTGGGCAAGAGGCAAGCAGTGAGGCTGCTCATGATGAATGGACGGGAATGTCACCCTAAAGAGTTTGGATTTTATCTGAGGAAAGAGTGAAGTATGGGCTGTACTTTGATTTTGACCATTTGTTTCCTGGTCTGTTATTGGGAAAAGGTGGTTGGTTTGGGGTCACTGAAATGTTCAATACTGATGCAAGGAAAATCCAGCAGGGGGAAATGGTGGCCTGCCAAAAATTGTCCTGGCTACTGGTTGGTCCACTAAAGCGCCAATGTGGCCTCATCGAGCTAAATGCCTTCACCCCGCCTAGGGTCCACCATCAACCTCCGGCCGCCGCCGTATCACAAAGAGCAAGACCCCAGGAAGCCTCAGGGGAGGACACTTCCGGAGACATCACGAGATTTCCCGTGAGCCGCGGCCAGACCAGGAGCGTCTGGTCGCCTGGCAACCGCGCCCGGGCTGCTGAAGAATCGGGCTCTGGAGAAGTTTACCAAACGTGAGTTATTGTCCCGGCTCATCCTGCGTCGCGGGTGAGGTGCCTTCAGGGAAAAAACGTGGGGACAGAGGAAACCCTAGAGTCAGGTTTCTCCAAATTGCCTGCCAGCAAGACTTTCCTGGGGCGCTTGTTAAAATGCAGATCCCTGACCCTTATCTCGAGACATCTAGAATTTCTAGAAAAACAGTCTGGACGTCTGTATTTTAAAGAAATGGCTGTAATCAGGCAAGGTTGGGAAACAGCTCTAGAGGAGAGAGACACGGGTGGAGGAGGGGTGGCCGCGGAGTTGGGGAGCGGCGTCTGGGGGCGCGGACCTCTGTGTGACAAGGAGAAAAAACGCCAGCGATTTCGAGCATCTGGACGCCACTGAGCCTGGGGCTAGCTCGGGGAAATGTGCAAACCGAACTTGGAAACGTCCACCGCCACACCTGGCCAGTAGGAGCCCCAGGAGAGGAAAATCAAGGGGTCCACCAACATGGATTCCCAGAGCGCCTGTAAAGCAGCTCCAAGCTGTCCCCCACTGGCAGCGACCTGGCGAGTGAGCCCCGAGATAACAGAGATATCTGTATAGTAGGGAAAAAATATGAAAAAGCAGTTTCTCAAACTTTAGAAAATGAACTTCTTTTAAAAGAAAATCAGGGATACCCCACACGTGTTGACATAATTATTTTCATTATAATGTTCGAAAATGTACCCAAATCTAAACTAGGTTCAGCTTAAACTCCGGAAGCTTGTCATTGCTCCAAAACAAACTACAATACCAATGAAATTTAAATGGATATTATATTAACAAGATAAATGGTGGTGTTTTGATGAAACTAAATCCTCTTTTGGGGATCTGACTGCTACAATGCAGGCTCTTTGGATTTAAGTGTTCTCTGTTCTTGTGTGTTATGGGTTGATTCAATTCTTTTTCCACATTCAAGCCCCTGAAAAGTTTCCCTAAGGCTTCCTGATGAAGTCCATTGGCCTGCCCTTGGTTTAATAAATACTTCATTTATATATTACATTTGCCTCTTTTCTAATTATCTGAGAGAATTATTGTAAACTTATTTCTATACAAACATAAATATATACACTGGAGCCTAGAGACAAAATCCATTTATAGACTAGTTATTCATAAGGATTCAGATATTCCAAAATTTCTGTTTTAGGCTAGGTTAGAAAGCACAGCCTAAAGCAAAAACTCATGTGATAACACTTTTGGGGGGTTGTTATCTCAGGGAAGCAGGAGAGAGGGGGGAAAAAAGAATGAGACAGAGATGGAGGGAGAGAAAATATAAGACGGTATGTAACCCAGAAGACCACAACATGCTTTCAGAGGGACGTTTTGAAATGGCTGTGTCTCCTAAAAATCCATGGGGTTGGGGTGGGGAGGAGAGAGAATAAATCATTCATGGCTCTTGTCTCTCATTGGTCAATGTTACCCCACAAGGCATCGCGCCCCTGATTGTACAGGGTCACTCCTGCATAGCCACTTGGGCAGCAGTCTCCTGCCTCAACTGTAAGGGAGAAACCCTGGGGTGTATAACCTCTTTAAGATTTGCATTTCACCATAGTTATCAGTGTAAAAAAGATATTTGAAATTTCTAAAAAAAGTTCTAACATTTTAATATATGGGCCAAAGAAATCATATTTTTTAAATGTACAACCTGGAAGGAGCCATCCTTAGTTTTAAACCCTCAAGAGGCTCTTTCAAATGTGCTAAGATGACAGACATGTGAGTAGACCATAAAAGCAACATTGCAAAAGCAAAATAAAATAAAACACCCAAAGATTTGTCATTAGAATAAATTTCTTACAATGGAATTTTATACAGCAGCACAAATATTCAAGAGCTGCACACATCAACTCTGATGATTCTTACAAACAAAACATTAAGCAAAGAAAAAAAACTAGTCAGAATAATGCCATTTATGACATGTAAAAATGTAAAAAACAATAGTATATGTTGTTTAGGTATACATACATTTGTAGTAAAAGTATAAAGATATGAATAGGGATGTCTAAATTTAAGATAAACTCTAAAATAGGAGAGTGGAGAAGGAGAAAGGTATAGAGGGGTTCCAAATGTATTTGTAGTGTTTTATATTTTAGCTGACTTGTGGGTCCATGGGTGTGGTGTTATTCTTTACACTTTTATGATGATATATTTTGTGACATATTTTTAAGGCAAGATTAAGAAAAGTCAGCTTCAAATAAAGAAACAAAAACTCATAGACACAGACAACAGTTTAGTGGTTACCAGAGGGTAAGGGGAGATGAGGGTGGTAGAAGAGGGTAAAGGGGGTCAAATATATGGTGATGGAAGGAGAACGGACTCTGGGTGGTGAACACATAATGCAATATATAGATGATGTATTATAGAATTGTGCACCTGAAACCTATGTAGTTTTGTTGACCACTGTCACCCCAATAAATTTTTTTAAGTTTTTTTACTGGGGAACAGCCATGGTCATTGGTTACACGTTGCTTTCATGCTACAATGGCATAGTTGATACTTTTAATGAGGGTGCAGCTCACAGTGGCCCATGCGGGGATTGGACTGGCAACCTTGGTGTTATCAACACCACGATCTAACCAACTAAGCCAACCAGTCACCTCAATCCCAATAAATTTTAATTAAAAAAAGTTAGCTTTACTTAATTAGAAACTTTGCCCAGAATATTACTGTTGTGTTTGAAATTTGATCTGTAAACAATAATCTTTCATGTCCAGAATACCACACAAACTGAGGTGTTTGGTTGGTGAAATCCCAGATACATTGGAATAATAATGCTCAATTTTAAACTGTATTTTTGCTTATATTTTTGATGAGAATATAAAGCACAATTGGAGAAACTGGGGTATGTATCACTTACATAGCTGTACTTCTGGGATGACTGCAAAAAATGGGTTATCTCAAACTATGAACTACATATGCATATCTTACATACAGCAATATTTTATTAATAGTATGTTCCCCTTATTTAACGGCCCTAATATATTCCAGTTGAAAGAATGAAGTGAACAGTGTTAACCGCATCTGTGAACAAAACAGTAGAATAATAATGATAGATAACATTTATTGATCTATGTACCAGGCACTGTGCAGAACACTATATGCATGATTATCTCATGTCATCCTTACAATATCTCTTGGAAGTATTAAGTACCATTATTAACCTAACTTTATAAGAAACTGAGGGAACATGCCCAAGATTGCCTAACCTTAGTGAGCAATGAAGCCAAAACTTGATCTCAGGCAGTCTATATGGAGAAATACTACATCATGTTGCCTCTTTATGGGTTATACCTGAAGTAACAACAAAGTTTCAAAGCCAGCCCCATTTTCAAGCATTTTGCACCATTGACCTACGTATACACTCAAGGTTTCACACCATTTGTTCTGATTTGGGGATTTAGTAAATGTGATCACCATGGGCACTATGGAAAAAGGAGCCAAGAGACATGGTCTCATTCCTAACTGCCACTAACTAGAGCAGTTTGAGACAATTCTCTGGGCCTTACTTACTTCAGGAGAAAGCACTAGATGATATTCCTTGAGGTCTTTTTCAACTCCGAAGGAGAAAAATAATACTTTAAAAGATGCTCACAGCTAGTGACGTCAGCATCATGGCAGAGTGAGAAGACTCCTTTGATTCTCCCCTTAAACTTACAAGTCAGACAGCTATAACTCAACAAAGGATCCCCTACAGAACACACAAACATGCCTGAAAAATCCATGCATTGGGACATCTGAATCATTATTCACAATAGCCAAGACATAGAAACAACTTTAGTGTCCTTTGACAGATGATTAAATAAAGAAGATGTGGTACATATGTATAATGGAATACTACTCAGCCATAAAAAACATGAAATATTGCCATTTGTGATAATATGGATGGATCTTGAGAGTATTCTACTAAGTGAAATAAATCAGACGAAAAAGGACAAAAACTATGATTTCATTCATATTGAGATATAAAACAAAAAGCAACAAATAAACAAAACAAAAAAACTCATAGATACAGACAACAGAATGGTGGTTACCAGAGGAGGAGGGTAGGGGAGAGGACAAAATGGGTAAAGGGGGACAAATATATGGTGATGGAAGGATGCCAGACTTCCGGTGGTAAGCACACAATAGAGTATCCAGGTGTCGTATTATAAAGTTGTATAACTGAAATTTATATAATGTTATTAACCAATGTTATCCCAATAAATTTAATTTTTTTTTAAAGATTTTATTGGGGAAAGGGAACAGCGCTGGGGAATCGGGGGAAGGGGAACAGACAAGTTGCTGTCCTTTTGTTCTTCAGTCTAGTTGTGGAGGATGTTGCTTCACTGGCCCAAGTTGGCACCATCATTGCGCTCTTCCCGGGTGAGGCAGATCAGTCGCCGGCTTCTGGACGGCCGCTCACTGCGGCTGCTGGCCGCTCACGCTGGCTGCTGGCCACACACGGTAGCCCATGGCAACCCACTGCAGCAGGGGCTGCAGCCTATGAGTCAGCCAGCTCCAGGTCGAGCTGTTGTTCAGCATCTTAGCTGTAGAGGGCAGTGTCACTGGTCCTCATATGTGGGATCCGAACTGGGGCCCTCTGGCATCCCAAGGCAGTTCTTAACCAATGCGCCACTCGGCCGGCCCTAAATTTAGTTTTTTAAAAATTAAATTAAAAAAGATGACCACAGGGCCGGCCGAGTGGCGCATTGGTTAAGAGCTGGCTTGGGACACCAGCTCTAAGCATCAGGGCCCCGGTTCGGATCCCACATGAGGGCCAGTGACACTGCCCTCTACAACTAAGATGATGAACAACAGCTCAACCTGGAGCTGAGCTGCCGTGAGTTGCCAGCAATGGCATAGGCTGAAGCCCCTGCTGCAGTGGGCTGCCATAGCTACTGTGTGTGGCCAGCAGCCAGCATGAGCGGCCGGCAGCTGGTGTGAGCAGCCAAGAGCCACCGTGAGCGGCCATCCAGAGGCCAGTGACCGATCTGCCTCACCCGGGAAGAGCCCAATGATAATACCAACATGGGCCAGTGAAGCAACGTCCTCCACAACTAGACTGAAGAACAAAACGACAGCAACTTGTCTGTTCCCCTTCCCCCAATTCCCGAGCACTGTTACCCTCTCCCAATTCCCCAATAAAATCTTTAAAAAAAAAAAAAAAGATGACCACAGTAACAGTTCACTATTAGGGAAAGAAAAAGATTTAAAGGTAAAAGTGAACGAGCATTGTGTATTTAATTTATTTTGGTATTTTAAAATTTTTTATAAAAAGAATTAGGTCTATAAACTTAGAAAACAACCTAAATGTCTCTAAAAATGTCTATGACCTACCTTATCAAATAGTTTTATATAAGAAAAAGAGTAAGTCAAAATAATGTTTCCTAAATTGCTATGTACATTATACTCCTTTTTTTCTTTAATTTTTAGAAAGTTGGACATGACATAATACCTAAACCTGCTTCTTGACATGGCATCAGATCAGAGCTATTGCTGAGAGTTTGATTTATAGAGAAATCATGGTTCGTCTGACCTTGGATCTCATTGCCAAAAACAGCAATCTTAAACCTCGGAAAGAAGAAAGCACTTCACAATACCTGAAGAAAATAACTCACATAAATTTTTCAGACAGAAATATAGATGCAATTGTGAGAATTCTGATATTATTTTCTGTTTTTATATAATTAAGAATGTAAAGTTTAGAAATTGGTGTCAGGATATATCTTCTTTTTAACTATATTTTTATTATACTTATTAACTAGATTTTCATTAGCCAGCTTTATACTGGTGTTTGATTTTAATTTCCTGCTCGTGATGTTAAACTTATTAAATCTATAAAATATACCATTGTGATGGTTAAAAACTCTATAGTGTAGCAAGCTAGATTTAAAGGTGTATGTTGGAAAATAACTTCAAAGAGAATTACTTATATATAATTCCAGAACCTTGGGATATGAATTTTTTAACGTATTGAAATATTAAGAATTAACTATGTGAGTACCATATTTCAAAACTTTAACAGTGAAATCTTTTTCGCACGTAATTTAACTGGTTAGGTAAATGTAGGTTATACTATGTCAGTTCTATCAGGCAAGATTATGTTTACTTAGATATACTCTGAAACTACATTTTCTCTGTTTTAAGCCAACTCTTGGCTTTAATTGGGAAATTTTAGGCAACAATAACCCACTTAGGCCATTCGTATTGGTATCCATTGTCTACAATAAAATGCTAAAGTCTATATGTATAGATGAGAGACAATTTCCCGGAAACATATAAGCTACCTGAGGCTAAGGATCATATCTGCTTTCTTCACATCATCCTACATCCCCCATCCAATACTGTGCCTGACTCATAGTAAGTGCTTAATAGATATTTATTGAGTGAATAAACAAATGAATAAAAAACAGCAAAGCCCCAGTCAAAATTGTCCATTAGGACAATTGCTTTTGTTCTGTTTTGTTTTACAGAGACCCTACTCAGCTCCCATTCTATATCCCTTTCCAGTTTCCTGGTGATCCTTCTTCCCAGGAATCCAATTGCCAAAACCCCATGTTTCTCTTATTTTGACCAAAGCTCTCCACATCATTACACCATATACAGGCTGCTTTCTCCAGAGCCTCTATTTAATGTTCTTTGGCCCCTCACAATCAATGTTCCTTCACTGTGGATGACCTGTGTTAGGAAAAAGGCAAACTGGTATAAAGTAATTCACACTAAGAATAATTTGTAAATTTACAGTTCCCAAGATGTGGCTGTATTTTAAAAGATCTTACTTAATGAAAGCTGAGATTTTTTTGAGCAAAACTTCATTCTATCTCTTGCCTACTCAGCCTAGGCTCACTCTACCATCACACAAGAAATGACAGCCTTTAAAAATACCTTTAATTATTTTCTTATCTCAAAAGTAATTGCTGTTCTTTGTATAAGTACATATAAAAGAAAAACATTAACTTGTAATTTCTATCCTTCAGAGAAAACCACTATTAACATTTAGATAATGTCCTTTTTTCTAGGCATATATAATTTTACAACAGTGGGTCAACGAATGTAATGTTCTCATTTTATTATGAGATCTATAAGATATTAGTAGAGAAACTAAAGGATATTTAATGATTATATGGTATTCACTTTAGTAGCATTATCATAGTTTATTAATCCATTGTTCTTGAATATCTAGATGACTTCCAATTTTCAGAATTATAAATCACAACAGTTTACTGCCAATTCTACAGAAAGATTAAGCCATGATTTATAATGTTGGAGCAATAATCTATTAAATGCTTCAACTTCCAGAGGAGCCTAATTGCTTCCATGGAAAATTGCTTGCACTGGGAAAATCTTAAAATACAATTTTATTGATATAGTTACAGAATGCTAAAACCTAGAACTAATTTTGTAATCATCCTAGTCTTCTTTGGACTGTGCTCAGAACAAAGAAACACTGTTCTTTTATATTAACCTTATTATAGAATAACTAAGGGAAAAACTTTCTTAAAAACAAACTTCTAAATTTTCAAGAGAAATTAAGCATGACTTCTTTTTCTTTTCCTTTTAGGACGACCTCTCTCTTTGCAAAAATCTTAGTGTTTTATATTTGTATGATAACCGTATTAGTCAAATCACTAACTTGAATTTTGCCACAAACCTGACCCACCTGTACCTGCAGAACAATTGTATTTCATGTATAGAGAACCTCGGGTCCTTAAAGAAACTGGAAAAACTGTAAGTCCTTTTTTAAAGTAATGTAATTGTTTGAAATCATTACAGTAATATGTTTACCTGTAGGTATCTCCATTCTCTGCAGTTTTGTGAAACAGGCCTCCACATTTTTATTCTCTTTTAGTATCATTAGTACAAAATACATTGTTACAAATGTAATACCTGACAATTAGTGTTTTCACAAGCCTGGTGTGCTTTCCTTTTGCAGGAAGCAAGTTGTCTGAAGTGCTTATAGGTATATTAAAAGTATCCTTACATAGTAGGCTCACATGTGGAAGCTTCCATGAAATGAGTTGAGACTTTCAGAATCACACATCTCAAAAAGGCAGGGTCATAGAACTGATAATACTGATGTAGATTTGATTGTAAAAAAGGCATTTACTGCCTATAATGATTTAAACAAGGAAGACTGGTTGACACAATTTCCCCAGATTGTTAGAATTATCAGTGCTCCCAAAATCGGACCAGGGGCCTCAGAATGGGGAGATAGGAGTGAGGTGGGAAATGCTTATTAAAAATGCAGATTGCTGGGTTCTAACCTAGAGAGCCAAATCAGAATCTCTGGGAGTTAGGCCCACAAATCATTTTTAAACCTACAACCCAGGTTATTCTTCCGCACCCTAACCCGAGGAACACTAGTAGATAGCTTAATAAGGACTAGTCCAATTCTCTCACTTAAAAAAAACATACTTCTTAGACTACATTATCATATAATGTAGTAAGAATCATTAGATACATTTTTCATTGGTTCAATATAAAGAGAACATTCTGCATGTATGATTTTCACGCAGCGCAATGATTTTATTATGTTTTTATCATGTTTACAGACCATGATGTACTCATAATTGTCTACTTAGAATTACGCCTTATATTTACAGGTATCTGGGAGGCAATTACATTGCTGTTGTTGAAGGTTTAGAAGAATTAGAAGGACTAAGAGAGCTTCATGTTGAGAGTCAGAGGCTTCCGCTTGGAGAAAAGCTTCTCTTTGATCCAAGAACTCTTCATTCTCTGGCAGTAAGGCAACATTTGAGTATTCTTTTTTTTTTTTTTTAAGATTTTTATTGAGGAATTGGGGGAATGGGAACAGTGCTGGGGAATTGGGGGAAGGGGAACAGACAAGTTGCTATCGTTTTGTTCTTCAGTCTAGTTGTGGAGGACGTTGCTTCACTGGTCCAAGTTGGCACCATCATTGCACTCTTCCCGGGCGAGGCACATCAGTCACCGGCTTCTGGCTGGCCACTCACTGTGGCTGCTGGCCGCTCACGCTGGCTGCTGGCTACATACGGTAGCCCATGGCAACCCACTGCCACAGGGGCTGCAGCCTACGCCATTGCCGGTGACTCACGGCAGCCCAGCTCCAGGTTGAGCTGTTGTTCAGCATCTTAGCTGTGGAGGGCAGTCACTGGCCCCACATTTGAGTATTCTGACAAAGCATATCGTGATTTATAGTTATAATGGAACAAGAGGGCTGGCCAAGTGGCTCAGTTGGTTAAGAGCTCACTCAAGAGTGCGAGCTCTGAGCAACAGCGGTTCGAGTCCTGGCCCGAGCTGAGCAGCCGCTGAGCTGCCAACAGGTGGCAGGATGGCTCAGCTAAAAAAATAAATAAAAAAAAATAATAATAAACAAATAATGGAACTAGAAGGTGGTGACGGTATATTTGCACACTGTACCTACTCTGCATGTTTATCTGGCCAACTGAGAGTTTATCTGAGGGCTAAGCCTAATTTTCCCGCATAATTTCTCAGAGACTCAGCAGCTATGAAGTGGAGATAATACCTGCCTTAGGGAAACTGGAAAGATCAAAGAAAGGATTTGAAGAGGTTATGTAAACTTTCAAGTTCTAACACAGATGTTAATTCATTCATAAATTCCATCTTGGTGTGATGATCACGACTCAAAATTTAAAATTCTAGGAAAAACCAAAGGAAAGAGATATGCACCATTATTTGGCAAATTTTAAACAACCTATAGAACCACTACAATGTTAAATCATTTTCTCACTGGATTCAGATTTGATTGTAGGTTGCACTACATACAGCTCTGCCTCATCAGGAGCAGGTAGATCTGGGAGCAAGGGATTTGCTGCTCTGCTGTCACCTGACAATTGTTCACATCGCATGGCGGTGTCACAATGAGTTAAGAAGCCAGGGGGTGCCACGGAAGTTTTTGCTAATCCTCAAAACAGTATTTGTTTGGATAGCTACCTTCAATTTTGGGGCTAGGGGTGGAAATGGAACATGGTTGTTGCATTTAAAGATTTTGTTGATTTTCTTTTAGAGGGCCCAGAAATGGAGGGCAGTATAAAGTTTCTGAACCAAATATATAACAATTAAGGGACAGTGCTTTAAATTGAGAAAAAAAAAAAAAAAAGAAGTGACCAGGTTTCTACCCTACCCCTCTGTTCTTTCCAGAGAATCAACTGCCTCAGCCCAACCTCAACTGATCCAATAGACTGACCCCGCTTGTAGATGGCTTGCTTTACTACAAAACGCCAATGAAAATATATATTTTTTTTTAAGATTTTTTTTTTTAATTGGGGACTGGGGGAAGGGAACAGCGTTGGGGAATCAGGGAAGGGGAACAGACAAGTTGCTGTCCTTTTTGTTCTTTAGTCTAGTTGTGGAGGATGTCGCTTCACTGGCCCATGTTGGTATTATGATCATTGTGCTCTTCCAGGCTGAGACAGATTTGTTGCCGGCCATTGGACAGCCACTCATGGTGGCCCTCGGAAGCTCACAGCAGCTCTCCCCAGCTGTGGGCCGCTCACAGTAGCTCATGGTGGGCCACTGCAGCAGAGGCTGCAGCCTACGCCGTCGCCAGTGACTCTTGGCAACCCAGCTCCAGGTCGAGCTGTTGTTCACCATCTTAGCTGTAGAGGATGCAGCGTCACTGGCTCATGTGGGAACCAAACCGACGGCCCTGCTGCTCTGAGCTCGCACTCCCATACCAACTTTTACCACCTGAGCCACTCAGTCAGCCCATAAAATATGTTTGCTTACAAAATTTTTGCATTTTGTATTCAAGCAGATTCCTAAATTCTAAATATAAGGCATAATTTTTTAAGCTGTACTTCAAGTCCTAAAAAGTGTCGGAAAGTATGTTCTGTATATATTAGCTGTGTGTGGACACCTGGGAGGTAGACTCCATCTTAGCAGAGATTCCTCGGCCTGAGATTTTAAGATGGCTTTAATTTAGTGTTGTCCTAATGCCATAAATTGTCCTCATTAAGAGCTAATGTTGAAATTCTTGTTAATTAGCTAATTATTGTTCTAAGTGGCTTCTGGGCACATGGAACATCAAGAGAATCCTATATAGAGAGATAAAGAATAAAAATAAATACCAAATATTCTTTCATTTTTGGTCAATGTTTCCTATTTTGAAAAACTAAGACAAAAGCAATTTCTTCCTATGTAAATACATATCTTAGTGACATTTAACACAAGATGAAACTTGCTTAAACTGAAATAAGTACATTTTCTACATTATGTTATTTGTTTATTGGGGCACCTTTTTTCTTTGCTTCTTGATTCTTGGCTTTTTTCTATAACTTTCTCTTACATCCTAATCAAACTTATGAAAAATAGTAAGTTATATCTAAAGTTCCATCTGAAAAACATATGACATAGAAACAAAATCTCTGTGCCTTTTTTGTTTTCTTGCCTAAAGAATAAAACAGCCTGAACTGATACATCTTAAATTTTTTCACGGATTAGGATTTCTGATTCCTATATATAGTATTTAATTAGACTATTAACTAAAACCAATTTAATTATTTTCTTACAGAAATCCCTCTCTATATTGAATATCAGCAATAATAATATTGATGACATAAGAGACTTAGAAATACTGGAGAATCTTAATCAGCTCATAGCAGTTGACAACCAACTTCTACATGTGAAGGTAGTGTAAAGAAAAATTAATTTTAAAATATTGACCTGAAGTTGTGATTGAAATAGCTATAAAATGTATTACTTTTAAAACTATTTTAGGTTTTTTTCTAAAACTAGCTTATAACTCTCTACTTCATAATGTATTTACTTGCATAATTCTTCCCTCTTACCTGGTTTTCCCTTCCATACCCCAATGCCTCCGTCCCTCACCAACTGAAAAAAAGTTCCTTTGAGAAGGAAGCATTTGCTTTTTTTCCTCTCTGTTTTATGTTTCCATCAAATATTTCCCTCTAGAGACTAGATTTCTTGTCCCTTCATTCTAATCTGCTAATGAATGAGTTTCTAGTAAGTGTGACTAGACCTGAACTCTCTCCTGGCTGTTCCTTCTTAGGGAAGCACCTTGAACTTGAACTTGTTCTAATTTGAATTAGCTATTATTTATGTCATGTTATATCATATCATGCCACATTCATTCAATTATTCCCTCGTTCAATTATGTATTGGACACCTTCCTATTTGTCAGGCACTGTACTACTTGGTATAGAACAGAGAAAGGAAGAATACAGTCCCGGAGCTCAAAAATCCCACAGTCAACAAGTAACAAGACCCTTAGAGAAACATGTTGTAGGCACTGGAGATACCTTGATAAATACGACAGATGAGGTCTCTGGCTTCAAAGAGCTTACATTACAGTGAGACAGGGTAGGGAATGGCCAGAGAAGATTGTGAAAAGTGCTACAAAGGAATTAAGTAGGAGGACAAAATGGAAAAATCAGGTTATCAAGAAAGGCCTCTGAGAAAATGACATTTATGCTGAGATCTAAAGGATGAGAAAGAAATCTGTGCAGAGAGCTAGAAAGAACATGCCTGTCATCGGGAAAAACAGATACAAAGGCTCTACACACTTTAAATATAAAAATATATAAAAGTAAAATGATGGGGAAATAGATGCAATACAAACACAAATAGGAAAAGAAAATAGCTGGAGTGGCTATATTAAGATAACACAAAATAGACTTCAGGACAAGAAATATTACCAGAGATAGATCCAGAAAATTTTATAATGATAAAGAGTGTCAATTAATCAAGAAAACAGCAATCTTCAATATTTATGCACCAAATTAACAAAGCTTCAAACATATGTATGAAGCAAAATGACAGAAGTAAAAGGAGAAATAGACAAACCCATACTTATAACAAATTTCAACACTCTTCTCTCAGTAGTTGATAGAACAAGTAGCTGGTAAATTAGTAAGGATATAAGATTGCTACAACACAGCCAACCAAATTGATCTAATTGATTCTTGTACAACATTCCACCTAACAATAGCAATTGGAACATTCACCAAAAGTCCATATACTGGGCCATATAGGAAGCCTCGAAAACTTTAAAGAACTGAAATTCTACAGAGTATATTGTTTGACCACAATGGAATTAAATTAGAAAGGAATAAAGGGAAAATATCTTTAAAATCTCCAAATATTTGGAAATTGAAAAACACATTTTTTAATAACCACCAGGTCAAACAAAAAACGACAAGGGGAATTAGAAAATAATAGACCAACCAAAAATGAAAACAAAACATTTGAAAATTTGTGTGATGCAGTAACATAGTGCTTAGAGGGGAATTTATAGCTCTGAATGCTTACATTAAAAAAGAAGGAAAGGGCCGGCCGAGTGGCACGATGGTTAAGAACTGGCTTGGGATGCCAGAGGGCCCCCGGTTCAGATCCCACATATGAGGGCCAGTGACACTGCCCTCCACAGCTAAGATGCTGAGCAACAGCTCAACCTGGAGCTGGGCTGCCATGAGTCGCTGGCGACAGGCATGCGCTGCAGCCCCTGCTGCAGTGGATTGCCATGGGCTACCGTGTGTAGCCAGCAGCCAGCGTGAGCCGCCAGCAGCTGCAGTGAGCGGCCGTCCAGAAACCAACCGGCAACTGATCTGCCTCACTCAGGAAGAGTGCAATGATGGTGCCAACTTGGGCCAGTGAAGCAACATCCTCCACAACTAGACTGAAGAACAAAATGACAGCAACTTGTCTGTTTCCCTTCCCCCAATTCCCCAGCACTGTTCCCATCCCCCCAATTCCCCAATAAAAATCTTTAAAAAAAAAAAAAAAAGGAAAATTACCTAAGCTCCCACCTCAAGAAGCAATAAAAACAAATGCAAATTAAATTCAAAGTAAGTGGAAGGAAGGAAATAAGATAACTAACAGCAGAAATCAATGAAATAGAAATATAGACAACCAAAACAATTTGACAGTTTCTTACAAAGTTAAATATGTGACTCAGCAATCATATTCTTAGGTATTTACCCAAGAGAAATGAAAACCTATGTTCATACAAATACCAGTATGCAAATCTTTATACAGTGACTTTATTTGTAATTTTGGAAACAACCAAGTTTCCCTCAGTGGGGAATGGATATACTGTGTTCCAGGCAACGGAGTATCACTGAGCAATAAGAAGGCATGAACTACTGATGCACACAACAGAACGGACAAATGTTAAAAGCATTACACTGAGCAAAGTAAGCCAGACAAAGAGAGTATATACTATATGATTCCATGTATATGAAACTCTTAAAAAGTAAAAAATGTGTATAGTCATAGCAGATCAATGGTTACTTGATGGGAATGTGAAGAGACTGACTGGAAAGGGCCATGAGCAAATTTTTTGTGATGATGAAAAATGTTGTCTTGATTATAGTGGTTGTTATATGGATGTACAGTAATACCTTAGTTTGCGAGCATAATTCGTTCTGGAAACAAACTACTCGTATTGCAAGACATCGCTCATTTACGACGTTAAAATGTATTAGAAACGTTTGCTCATCTTGCAGAACACTCGCAAACCAAGTTACTCGCAAACCAAGGTTTTACTGTATATGGTTTGGTCATTTAAATGAATACATTTTGCTGTATGTAAATTATAACTCAATAAAGCTAATTTAAAAATAATAGTAGAGGGGGTGAGAGGGCAGTAGATGGGGATGGGGGGTTGTTACTTTGTGAGGGTGAAAAGGATAACTATTACGTTATTCTGTACACCTGAAACTAACAATAAAATGTTAAAAAATAAATAATAAAAATAATAGTAGAAAAATTTTCAAAACCAAAGAACATGAGTTACCAGATTGAAACCACCTCCCAAGTGCCAGCACAGTGGGTGAAAACTGACCCACACCCAGGTCCATCCTTACAAGTTTTTAGGACACCAGGATAAGGAGCTCCTAAAAGGCTCCTACAGAGAAAAAGGAGATAGAAAGAATCAAGAGTCAAAATGGAATCAGAATTATCAGACCTTTCAATCTGGAAGACCGTAGAAAAATATCTTCAAAATTTTGCGGTAAAAATATTCTCAATCTAGAGTTATATACTCAGTCAATTTTTCAATTGTTAGGTATAAAATATTTTTAAACATGCAAGCTCTCAAAAAATTTTACATCCTGCATACTCTTTCTCAGGAAGCTCTTGGAAAATGTGTTCCACCTAAACAGGAGAGAAATCAAGGAAAAGGAAAGACATGGCATCTAGAAATAGGAGAAATGCTAAGGAAATTCTCAGAATGAACTGAAGGGAATTTGAAGTGAAGTCCTAGGTCAGATCTACCAGCACAGGTTGCAGCAGGCTGACTTGGTGATTAATGCATAGAAAACTAAGCAAATAAATAACCAACCAATTTTTAACTCCAGGGAAAATAATCATAGTACATCAAGTGGTCTAGCTCTGAACAATTTCAAGTGAGCTTAATAATCTAGTCAATGAATATTAATCTGATTAACAATTTTAGTACATCTCTATTGACAGCATGGGGAGAAAAAAGTATAAAGGGGTAGCAGTAGTACTTATGAAAATTAAATCATCATCTTCCATAGTAGGAATTCAGTAGATAAATATCTAAGATTTAAAAATCAATCAACTGCAGTTGTTATTTAGCAGTGTGGAGGAAAGTGTGTATAGAAATAGCTGAAAAAGTCGAAAGTGGTTTTGTTATAAGCCCTAAGGTACTCTTTTAAGTTTTGTTATAAACCCTATGGTCTTATTTGATGTTTTAACTGTGTTGATTGCTTTGCTTTGCTTTTTAAAAATCTAATTTAAAAAATAGTGATTGGTGGATAAGGAACACCTGGTTAATAGAATTCTGTTATTGTATGCATATATCACCATATCCCCCATTAGACTGAGAGTCTTTAAGAGAAAGGAATTTCTGCTGATTTTAGGATTCCCTAGACTTCAGCTCAGTGCCTGGTCCACAGAAGGCATATACTACCTATTTATCAAATGAATGAATACAGGAACAATTAAAAATATATTCAACTATGTGAGGAAGAAATGCAGACCATTCAGCTACTTCTAGAGGCTGGAATATGCCAAGAGTTGCTTTTTGCTCCCATAGAGAGAAGATATCCAGGGAGTGAGGCTGAAACATCAAGTTCTTTTACTTCCAGCAAGAGGACACAGCAATTAAAAATGCCTAGACACAGTTTCTTGGAAGTCCGAATGTAGTTTGCCGGGGTTTCACTTGCAATGTGCTTTTGTGGCCTATTTGAAATCATCCTCTGAGGGCTTAACCAAAGGACATGTTGAAGGTCAGCGTCAGAATACTAGCTTGTTTGCCTGTCTGTATTCCTGGGGTCAGACCTCCATTTTTTGGCTTTAATTTTTCCGTTCTTTATGCTCATTGATTGAAGTTGCCCCAAAGCTGCTGACATCAAACCCTGTGCCACGGGAGAAAAAACTCAACATGCCATACAGGTCACTGACATCCATCCTAAAAGTCTTTGGCGGCAGACAGCTCTGTGCCATGGGGAAAAAGAAGTGGACATCATTAGAGAATCCTAACAAAACCACTCTAATTAGCCAAGGGTTTTAGCACTAGAGCAGCTGCTTTGATATGGACAAGCATTGGTTCTTCAAATGCACCTATAGAAAATACATGAAATAAGATAAAAGTGAAGAAATAATGGTCCCTTCGGTGGTTAAATAACTTTGAAACTTCCCATCAAGATTCTGGCTTGAGCAGTGAGAAAGAAAGAGATTTAAGAAAATTTAAAAGGAACACAGGTAACAAGGAAGAGTGCTACCATGGCAACTGAAACCCTGGAGCTCTGTGAAAGAAATAATAAGAAAAAGAAAAAGACACTTGTGTCACTGGCAAATACAAACATTCCTAAACGATGCCCAGGCCTTAGCCTGCTGAGGGCCCGAGGGCCACAGATCGGCTGCTATGTTAGAGCCAGGCAGAGGATAGCGGCCTAGAAGTTGGTTGGCCCAGGGGCTTCTACCCTTCCTGCTGTCTGAGATTTCATTCCCTTCCCTCTCGCTTCTACAGACCCACAGCTGCCAAGGACTCCTTCCCACCGGGATCCTCTAACCCTACCCTCATCTCTCCTAGTCCCTCATCCAGAGCTGGTCCAGGGCAGAGACTTAGGACAGGAGAGAGGGAGATGAAGGTAGCAGAGGAGGAAACAGAAGATAAATCCTGTCTTTCCCCTCTCTTTCCATGCTTGCAGCCCCTCGAATCAGCAACTTTCTCAAAATGGTTCCATATAATTTCCCCTTTATAATTCATGTCCTGCTTTTAACCTCAGGTCCCTTCATTCGTGTATGCATTCATTCATTTCATCTTATCCACTCGTTCAAAACACTTACCATGTGGCAGCACATGCTAGACAATGGGGGAGACAACTGTGGGCCAAAAAAAAAAATTTATGGTCCCTGGCCTCAAAGAGCTCTTAGTATTGAGGGGAAGAGAAACATTAAGCACATAATCACCCCAAAATATGTAAAATTGCACCTGTGGAAAATACTAAAAATAGAAGTATGTGGCCCTGAGAGGTTATAACGGGAATTTGCCTTAGTTAGGGGGCTCAGTGAAGGCTTCCCTTAGGAAGGGATTGCTGAGCTGAGCTCTCAGAGAACAGAAGAGCTTACCAGGTAAAGAGAATAGCATATGCAAAGGCCCTGGGGCAGGTGATAGATGATGAGGGATGGCAAAGATGAGGGACAGGAGGCAGGCGAGTGAAGGTGGAGCTTAGTGCATATAGAGGCTGGTGGGTACAAGTTGCACAGGTCATGACAGAGAGTTTTGTCTTTATCCTAAGAACCATGGGGAGCCACTGAAGGTATTTAAGCCAAGGTTAAGTAATTATGGATTAGCATATTGCAAAGACCAGTAGGGCTACAGTGTGGAGAACAGATTGGAAGAGGCCAGACCAGTCAGGAAGTGAGAGATGATGGAAAGTTGAATGGGGTTGGGGTGGAAATGAAGTGAGTGGGCAGATGGAGGAGTTGTTTAGGAAGCAGACTGGACGGGACTTGCTGGTGATAGAAGGAGTGTGGAAGAAGAAGTCAAGGACGGTTCCCTGGCTGCTGTCTTCCACAATGGAAATCAGGGGACTCAAGAGTCAGGCTTGGGGGAGAGGGAGAAGGCCATGAGTTTTGGCCATGTAGAGTGTAAAATGCCTTTTAAGTGTTCCCAAGAAACTATCACGCAGACAACTGGATACATGAGGCCGGAGCTCAGTGGACAGAAGAATGTGGGAGTCTTCAGCGTATTGGTTAAGTGGTCACCGAACCTGCCATCATGGGTGAAATTGCCGAGATATGGAGGGAGAGAGTGTATGATGAGATGCTTAGTGTGGCGTTCCCACGAAATCGGGTTCTTCCTCTCATGTACAGATGACCCCTCCTTCCTTGGTTGAATAGATGCTTTACTATTGTCATCAGTGTGGCCATTTTTGTTTCTGAAAAGGGTCTGCATATAAACCTAAAAAAAGAGAATGTGGTGGGTTATAGGAGAAAAACGTTTTTCTAGCCATGATTTCACCTTCTGCTGTAGCCCAAGAAAAGAAAACTAACACTGTTTGAAAGGAATAAATGTAGATTATAGAAAAGCAAATGAATTGATCCCTGATGGTCTGCTGCAGGGACACCTACTCCTGCTCCCCAGAGGAAGCTCTAGTGCTTGGGAAACATGGTGACACCTTATGGGGAGGTTTCATAGCACTGTCACCACACAGATATTTTTTTGGGCTTTTTTTCTTTAAATAGGGCTGTTTTTAATGGGCTGACTCTGACAACAGTCTTCCAGGAATAGCACTGTTTTTTATGAGATGTGTTCTCCATTTTCAAAAGTGACTTTTAGAAAACGGCCTGTTTATACATTAGGGTTTCCTATGGTCAGAGGTTTGTTACTTGTGGGGTCAGAGATTCATGCAGGATCCAGGGAGCCTGAGGAATGTGGAACCACAAAGCCATACAGGGAGCAGTCAGTAGTGTAAGATGCGCCAAAGAATTGAGACTGAGAGGTAAAGTAATAAGCAATATGGTTAGCAGTGGCTGTTCAGAAGCCCCAGGCTACAGGAATGCCCAGTGACTGAGGAAGCAGAGGCCGTGGCCTAGACCTGGATAACTCCAAATGTGGTCATAGGACCCAACAGCATTGGCCTCCAAAAGGTAGAATCTCAGCTTCTGCCCCAGACCTAACAAATCAGAACCTGTATTCCCTAAACAGGATCCCTAGCTGATTCGTAAGCACCTAACGTTTGAGAAGCACTGGTGTAGACTACTACTCTTTCAAGAAGTGTAGTGATGGTAGGTAAGAGACAGAGGACAGGGAGGGATTGGAATTGAAATGCAAAAGAAAGAAGATTCCAAGAGAAGGAGGCCAGTGAAAGAGGGGATGGGATCAAGAGAACCGATTAATTTGGGAAAAGTGGTGGGACTCTTCCTTTGTTGACAAAAATGGGAAAGAGGAATGGAAGAAAAATGTGAGATTGAAGGCAAATAACTGAGACAACTCTGGGCAGATGACCCGATTCGCCCCAACAAAACTGATGGCAAAGTCAACTCTTGAGGAAGAGGAGAAAGAATACAACACTCCATAGTTTAGAAACTCTCTTTAACTCACAGGGTTCTTGTTTAAATGACATTTACTTTCGGTTAACATTTCTTTGCCTTTTTTTTTCTGTAATTCCTTTAAATAGGTATGCATCGATGTAATAAAATATTAAATACTTTTAATGACCATTTACAATAAAACTTTTGCATTTCTCCAAGTGGCTTGATGAGAACCATGAACTTCAACAAGGCCAACATTCTATAGCTTGCTGACACTATTAAGTCCAATAAATATCATGTTTGCAAAAGTGCATTAAAAAAAATTTTTTTTAAATCTATACCTACAGTTTTTATGTCTGCAAAGTTTGCTAAATCAATAAAACGATCTGAAAAGTTCATCTCACAGTCAGCTATATTAGTGATTTGCTTCATTGGTTTTCTGATAACCATTTATCATGAGGTAAAGGATCTTCAGAATGAATGGTGGAAATAAAAAATCTGACGTGCTTGCCTCTCCTATAAACTAAATATTTGATTTATAAGACACAAACGAACAAACCACCATGGCCTGTCATGTTTTTCCACTTTCTAATTTATTCAACCTCTGCTCAATATTGATCCTGACAAGGAGAGTAACCCAAAGATAAATTTATTCACTCCGCAGTTTCGTCAGGAACAAGCCAAAAATTATAGATTTTTCCCAGGCAGATGATGACAGGCAGTCAGGGGGATGACAAATGGCTGTCTTTAGATTCACTTAGGACAGTTGGGCCAGACGTTTCCGATAAAGATTGGAGCACACTGGTCAAACACAGGTTCATCAGTGGCCATCATTAATTGTGGAGGACGCCCTGCCAGGGAGCATAGCACCAGCCCTGCATGGGAAACGGAATCGGCGGCTCAGGATTTTGCAGCACTCCTCTGAGTGATAGCATGACATGATCATTTATCAAACAGAGACTATCCAGAAAAGTGTCTGCTCCCTTTAGTAACTTATTGAAGGGCAGGGAAGTGAAAGCATTTTATTAAAGACAGGAAGGCAATGAACAACCCGAGCGTATCCAAAGGGTAATCATATTTCAGTACAGGATTAGTTTAGTCTTAAATAAACATGCACTGGAGGGAGTATGTCGAGGGTCATTTATCAAATGAGGAACAATTAACACAGCTCTGTAGGACTCTTTTTATCTCTACAAATTTAAAGTTCTCATAATTGTTATTATGACTGAACTTTTAAGTGATGGACATTGTATCCAACGCCATACAAAAATGCAATGCATAATTCCTTCCTTAGAGGTTTTTAGACTAAGAATACAGTGAAATTCTCACATAAAATAATTATGGCTGTATCAAACACTGTTAAACAAATGCTGTGGAGAGAGCATGGTCCAGCACACAGGACTGAAGGGTGAAGTTATATATAAGAGAGTTTCCTTTTTTTTTTTTTAATTTTGTGTTAAATTTATTGGGGTAACATTGGTTAGTGAAGTTATATAGGTTTGAAGTATACAATTCTGTAATCCATCATCTATCTATTGCACTGTGTTCACCACCCAGTCAGCTCTCCTTCCATCACCATATATTTGACCCCCTTTATCCTCTTCTGCCCTCCCCTCCCCCTTACCCTCTGGTAACCACTAAACTGTTGTCTGTGTCTATGATTATAAGTCAACTGCATGTCAGTGGGTCAGAAGCTTATTCTTCTTTAAACAATTTTTGTTCTGTGTTGACCAAAATTAAGAGGAAGCAAATTAGCTCAGGGGTGGGAGGAGAGGCAAAGAGGCGGAGAATTAACGCACTTATTATTACCTGCTTTGTTCCAGGCATTTATTTATATGCCACAGCAACTAATCCTAATTATCCCATTTTATAAAGAGGATGCAGGCTTGCCTAAGGTCAAATGGTAGCAGCTGTGCCAGGAAGTTTGGGATTGCCTGCATTTTTTTTAAACAATTCCTATTTTTCACACAAGTTATTTATTTGGATACCTCAGAATCTAGCACAGAACTTAGCACATGGTTCAAGAAGTATTGTGTTGAATAACTAAGTAGGCAGAACTGGAAATACTTTCACCACTTTATGGAGGGAGATGTTGGTCTCAGGAAGATTAAGGGACCTACCAGATACCCTGCAGGAGGTCTCAGACACCCAGCTTTCCTTGTAATTATTCCCCAAAGATAGCATTTCTTCATGTAGATACAGGTGCATATCTGCATATTCCAAATTTGTTACCTTCAAGATGTGACAGAGTTTTGTGGGGATTTTTAATATGTGGAAGGGAACTACCGTCAAAGCTTAATACTAAAAAAGAAAAGATTTTCTAAAATCTAAAGAATAAATACAATCTTATTATTTGAAAATTTTCCAAAAATGGACAAATGAAGTATCTAAGCAACAATAAACATGAAACAAGTAAAAAATAAGATGGAAGGTACAAATAGTTAGGTTAATTAGATACAGAATTCTGGCTGAACGGAACCAAGCTTTGAAGGTGAGGAAATGATAAAGGGAATACAAATACCACGCAATGGACTGTTGATTACTTTCAGCTTTGCAATTAAGAACATGTATGAATTAATCTATAATTTGTATCTCCTGATTTTTCCTGATTATGGTAATGTGTGTCTTGGCTTAAGGAAAACAAATGGAAGACCCATAGGTGCTTGCCTGCTGCTATCTGGAGTCTTCATTAACTCTGTTATCCTCCCACTCCCCCAAACTCTGAATAGCAATCCCCCTAGATACGTACAAGATCACATATATGGCAGTGCCCTGAAAACCAAAGCTCTCCACAGAATCAGTTATTATCAACATGTATTATTATTAGCAACAAAACATTTGCTTTTCAAATAGTGTTTCTGCCCTGTTGAAGGTTAGTTTTCCTTTCTTTTTTTTTTTTCTTTTTGCCTATGGCCCCTGAATTTTAAAACATCAATTGAAGGCTCTAGAGTAGAAAAACAGTTTTTGCATTGCTTGTTTTGACTAATTCATTACAGGTTAAATTTACCTGATTTTTAAAATTAAAAACAGAACTTTGGGGTACAGATAAGAATTGCTCCAAGGATTATTTCACTTTCATTAAATAGTAGCTAAAATAAAATATACGTATTTTTTAAATGAGGAAGGGGAGAGAGCAAAGAGAGGAATGACAACAAGACAAGGCATTGGAAAAAGAGATGGCGACACTAGATGGAAAAAGAAGCAAAATAGGGGAAGACAGAGGAGGTAAGGAGGGCAAACTGAGAGAGCCGGCTGGTTTTTAAATGCCATTCATCTGTTTTTCTTTTATTCCTGCAATGCTAATGGACTGCTTATTCACTACTCCTTAACTGCCTTAATCTGGAAACTTCCATAAGGTCCACTTATAGGGGGCATCTTCTGCAGCATGGATGGCACAGGGGTGAAACTGTTGGGGCCAGCTGCAGGTTGGGTCCATCTGAAGGAGTGTGACAGAGAACAGCTGTGTGGCTCCCAACTCAGGACCTCCGTTTTTGCCTTCTCTTTAGCCCTCTCTATTATTAGTATGACCATTTTATCCAAAAAAGACTTACGTTATGCTTTCTAAGTACCTGGCACTGAGCTAGGAGGCCATGAAAAGCAGTAATTACCCTTAAAAATAGTTAACTGAATGAAAGAAATACTGATAATTGTGAAATATCTGTATCTGGCTTTTTCTTCTGTAATTACAGGATTTGGAGTTTTTACTGAACAAGTGGAGGAAGCTGTGGAAAATGGATCTGAATGGAAATCCTGTTTGTCTCAAACCAAAATACAGAGACAGACTGATACTGGTGTCCAAGTCACTGGGTACACATTCATATTGTATTAATACAATTTTCTTAAAGAAAGAGACCTGGTTCACTTCTTAGTTAATGTATCAGCAAGCCTTCAGAAATATAAATATGACATCTGAATCTATAAAAAATGGTCAACTTTAAATTTGATGTTTTGAATAAGAGCAAAAGTTAAAATTGAGAAGTAAAGCATGAAAAATATCTGTTCAGAAATACTTAAACAAGGCACCAGATACCTTTTCTTTAAAAAAGAAAATGCGGCTGTTCCCAACAAACATGGTTAGTGATACATGTTTGCTCACCTTCTGCCGAATTTCCACAGGCACAAATCCTCTGAAGATCCTGAGACTCTTCAGCTCTTGGATCTGCAGATAAAATTAATCAAGGTTTTCATTGCTTGACACTTGCTAAATGGTACCCTAAGAACAAGCAGGAGTTCCTTTCATTTGAAAGTGGAGCAGGGTGGGGAGTTGTTTAGGATAAGATCCTTACAAATAATAACATTCCCGAGGATGCACTATTCTGGGGGAGATGGACCAAAGCTATACAACAAGGACCAAGTTATACAGCATCGGGAGACAAGCACTGCCCTCGCACAAAAGAGGTTCGTGAGAGGGTTTCCTGTGTCAGAACTTCTGTGACATGTTGAACTTGGGTGTAAAAACTAACATAGGGCAAAACCATTTCACAGCTCATGGCCATAGTGAACCTTGATTAATCATAATGCTAGTGCAGGGGTTCTGGGGTAGGAAGGGATTGACAGGGGGCATATCAGAAAAATCCAAGATGATTATTCAAAATACATATGTGAGGGTCATCCCCTGCCTACCTTTTACCCCACCAGCCAATGACAGGGAACAGAGAATATGCAGGGAGAAGAGTCACACATATTTTTTAACAGCTCTGCATATGATTCTGCTATGCACCACCCCCAACTGTCCATCTCCTCTCCACCCACTATACACAATTGTCTTAGTCCATTGTCCTTAGGAAACAGCGTAAACACAATTAATGTGATAATTAAGAATCTCCCAGTGTTCATGGAAACATTTCTGATGCTACAGTACCACAGGCAACACTGTAAAAGATAGGGAGATAAGTGTACTGATTTCCAAATAAAGAGGATTTATTCAAAGTTTTTAAAAGATAAACCTTTTCCATAACGTATTTTACAATTAAAAAATCAATACATATTTCTTCTACAAAATGCAAAAAATACAGAAAAAATAAACAACATTCATAATCCTGCCCTAAATTTGTTAACACTTTAGCATACATCCTTTCAGTCTTTTTTTCTATGCATATATACACATGTAACAAATTCTCTTTGATTTTTAGCTTGTCTTATTTTAATTTCCTTTTCCCCAAATGCAAACCGAACAACACAAAGTTAACTGAAAACCTGGTTTGATGCGTCCCAGTAAAAAGAACTAAGGGGAGCCATTTTCTCTCTTGTAAGTAACCCAGTCCTTACCAAATAGGATGACAATCCTCACACTTGGTTTACTTAGTATGAGTAGAAGCAAATTTTGTGCTGAGAACAGCTCACTAAAACACATCTCACAGGTCTCCAATCTTGTGTCCATTCCTTGGCTTTCCCCTCCTGAACCACCTCCACACCTAACAACCTCAAATAAGATCACTTGCTAAAAGTGAAAGAGAATCAGATTGACTGAGGCCCAGTCTCCTAGTCATCCCTCAGCTTTGTCTGGAACATGAAAATACGGAAACGGGACTATGGTAAAAGACTTGGATTTTTCTCTCATTCTTATAATAGATGTTTTTAAAAATACGTATTGATTTACACACATGACATCCAAAATATACTAACCAATTATACCATTATTAATAAAAACAGATCTGGAAAGCTATCAGGAAATACAAGGGGTTGGGAAAACTGAACACAAAAGAATGACTTGTTATAAGTACTGTAGGATGTATGATGATTAAACAGTTAGCCAATTTCTTACATTATAATTTGGAGAGTGCTGTTATTCAGTTAAAATAAGTACATGAGGCAAGATACGGAAACAATTATAGTTCTAGTGTTTATGGTTCTAATTTATACTTCCAGTTTCATCACTTGATTTTGTACTTTGAGTATAACAATGTTATACATCATATTTAAGTGGTAATGTTAATACTTTTAGTAGTACAATTAATATTTCATCAGGATATTGTCATTTTTCCCTGTAATAATATGATCTAAAAATTTTTACTACATCCTTTCTACATTCTGGGATCAGGTGGAAGACATTACATGGGTGATGAGAGAAAATATATTTAATTTTAAAAATACTATATAGCAAACTTTGCTAGAAAAAAAGTCTTTATATTAAATTAAGGCCACCTGTATTCATGTAATTAAAAAAGGTACTAAAGGTAATATAAAATGTCCTATCATTTTATAGTATATCCACACAATAGAATACTGTCAGCCATTAAAAATTGTGTTTACCCCTCCCCCAATTCCCCAATAAAATCTTTAATTAAAAAAAAATTGTGTTTAAAGACAGACATGTTGAAAAGCTCATAACACAATATTAAAAAGTAGGACATAGTGCTGTATAAATAGAGAATTCCAATTTTATATAATACACATCATACATAGAAAACAAACAAAAAATTCTAAGTGGGCTGGCTGAGTGGCGCATTGGTTAAGAGTTGGCTTGGGACGCCAGCTCTGAGCAGCGGGGCACCGGTTCGGATCCCACATAGAGGGCCAGTGACTCTGCGCCCTCTACAGCTAAGATGTGAACAAACAGCTCGACCTGGAGCTGGGCTGCGGTGAGTCGCAGGCAACGGCATAGGCTGCAGTGGGGCTGGCCGGCAGCTGGCATGCGCTTTCATGAGCTGTCATGAGCTACTGTGAGCAGCTGTCTAATGGCCAGCAAGTGACTGCCTCACTGGGGAAGAGTGCAATGATAATACCAACATGGGCCAGTGAAGTGATGCCCTCCACAACTAGACTGAAGAACAAAAGAACAGCAACTTGTCTGTTCCCCTTCCCCGATTTCCCAAAGCTGTTCCCCTCCCCAATTCCCCCAATAAAATCTTTAAAAAAAAAATTCTAAGAAATATACTAAAGTGTTATCAGTGGTCTTTAGTGATTTTTTCTAGTTATGGAATACAGGCAATGTTATTTTTTTTCTTTTCCCATTTTTTTTTGTATTTTCCAAATATTTTAAAACATAACAAAAATTATTTGTGTAATTTAAGATGCTCAATTTTCAAAACTTTTTTAAAGGAACACAATGTAAAGATAGCTGAAACCTCACCTCATAGAACCAAGAGGCGAGCTATGTGGGTTGTTCCTATAATAGCCTTGGTCCTAGGATATAATAAGTATTATTAATATATGAATATGTGTTTTTCAAATACCATGTTACATATATAAAACCTTATTCATTTTAAGATAAAATATATTTTGCTTTTCCCTAAGAATAACCATATTATTTAAATAAATAGGTAATATTTTTTGTTGAGTATGACATTTTTGTTTTTAAAAATAACATAAGGTACATATGACCCTAGAAGGATGACCATACATCAAATTGTTTACAGTGATTATCTTTGTCAGTGATGGGAAGGAGAGGTACAGATAGTAATAGAGTCTTTTTATGTTTTTTTTCCATCCTGTTTCAGTTGTTTATAATAAGCACATATTCTTTTTGAAGTCAGAAAAGAATTAAAAATAAATGAAAGCTAAACAAAAACACAGAAATTGTGTAAATAAGGTATTTTAAAAAGAAATGTATTTCAGCCTGAAGTTCATGTGCCCTAAACCAAAAAACTATATATTTTACCTATATATTTATATATTGTATTTTTTTAACATATATGTTTTTCTCTAGAATTTCTTGATGGAAAAGAAATTAAAACCATGGAACGACAATTCCTAATAAATTGGAAAGCATCCAAAGATGCCAAGAAAATCACCAAGAAAAGGAACAGTAAGAAGGAAGATGCAAATAATTCATACCTAAGTAAGTAAGCTGTCATTCAGTAGTTGAATCTTCTATTCAACAACGGTGACAAAAATTGGGAGAAATAAGAAAGATTTGTTTAGATTTTTGGTATAAGGTATTTGGGTTTTTTAACTTCTTTTATAATTCCTAGAAAATTTAACCTGTAATGTTTATATTTGACCATTGTAGACATTATCACGAAAAAAAAAAAAAGAAAGAAAATACCTAAGAATAAGCTTAACTAAGTAGATGAAATAATGGTATACTGAAAACTACAAAAAAATGATGAAAAAAATTAAGACACAAATGAATGGAAAGACATTTTGTGTTCAAGGACTAGAAGATTTAATATCGTTAAAATGTCCGTAACACCCAGAGTCATCTACAGATTCAATGCAATCCCTATTAAAATTCCAATGGCATTTTTCACAGAAATAGAAAAAAACAATTCGAAAATTCATATAACCACAAAAGACCACAAAATGTCCAAATCAGCCTTGAAAAAGAAGAACAAAGCTGGAGGCATCACACTTCCTGATTTCTAAATACATTATAAAGCTACAGGAATCAAGACAGGATGGTACTGGCATGAGACAGACATACATATGGAACAGAACAGAGAGCTCAAAAGTAAATCCACACATAAATGGTTCATTGATCTTTAACAAGGATGCCAACAGTACACAATGGGGAAAGACAATCTCTTTAACAAATGTTGCAAAAACTGGATATTCACATGCAAAAGAATGAAACAGGACCCTTATTTTACACCATACAAAAAATTAACTTAAAATAGATCAAAATATGACCCCAAACTGTAAAACTCCTAGAGGGACACATAGGGGGAAAGCCTCATGACATGAGTCTTGGCAATGATTTCATGGATATGACACCAAAAGCACAGACCAGAAAAAACAAAAATGAACAAATGGGACAAACTAAAAAGCTTCTGCACTGCAAAGGAAACAGAGTGAAAAGGCAAAATATTTGCCAACCATATATCTGATATGGAGTTAACTTCCAAAAGAAAAAAGCAACTCCTACAACTCAATAGCAAAAAACTAATAACCCAATTTAGAAAATGGGCTAGGGACTTGAACAGGCATAACTCCAAAGAAGACCTACAAATGGCCAACAGGTATATTAAAAGTGCTCAATGTCACTAATCAACAGGGAAATGCAAATCAAAACCACAATGAGTTATCGCCTCACACCTGTCAGGATGGCTGTTTTCAAAAAAACAAAAGACAAATGTTGGTGAGGATGTGGAGAAATTGGAATCCTTGTGCACTCTTGGTGGGAATGCAAAATGGTGCAGCCACTATGAAAAACAGCATGGCCGTGCCTCAAAATTTAAAAATAGAACTACCATATGATCCAGCAGTCCCACTTCTGGGTACTTATCCAAAAGAATTCAAATCAGGGTCTCGAAGAGATATTAGCACTCCTGTGTTCCCTGCAGTACTAGTCTCAATCGCCAAGATGTGGAAACAACCTAAATGTCCATTGACAGATGACTGGATAAAGAAAACGTGGTGTATACATAAAACAGAATGCTAGTTAGCCTTAGAAAAGGATATCCCGCAATATGTGACGACATGGATGAGCCTTGAGAACATTATGCTACATGAAATTAGCCATTCATTCACAGAAAGACAAATACTGAATGATTCCATTTATTTGAGGTATCTGAAACAGTCAAATTCATAGAATCAAAGAGTGGAAAGGTAGTTGCTAGAGGCTGCAGGGAGAGGGGAATGGGGAGTTACTAACCAACAGCGATCAAGTTTCAGTCAAGCAAGATGAGACCTCTAGATCTCTGCTGTACAAAGTTGTACGTACCTACAGTCAACAGTAATGTATTACACTTAAAAGTTTGTTAACAGGGTAGATCTCATGTTAAGTGTTCTCACCACAATTTTCTTAAAAGACATACAGAATGTTTATAACACAGAAGTATCATTTCATTCCTTGTTGTAATTGCTATTATAATAATCATTCATTTAAAATGGAAAGCACTCTAAAAGGGAAAGAATAGTGGGCAAGGGAAGAAAAGAGAGCTATTATTTACTGTGCCAAACACTTCCGATATTTATACACATGACTGCATTTAATCATTATAGCCGATGGGGCAGATAATTCTTATATCCATTTTACAGACGAGAAAGCTGAGTTTTAGAAAGATGAAATAACTTGTCTGAGGTCACAAGGATAGCAGGTGCCACAGTGATTAATCCAAGTTATCCAAGTTCATGAAACACCTTTGGTTCCTGGTGACCACTCCAGGGATGACTGGCTGAATTGAGCTTAGACAGGGACAAAAATGTCTTTTGTACTTAGAAATTCACTTCAGTTTGGTGGAGATTTAGGGAACTCTGCAGATGTTTAAACATGTGATCTGTAAACAATTTTTATAAATAAAAAGGAACTAGGGAGAAAATGCAATAATAAATTATGAAAGAACTTTGAAATTTTAAAAGTATTCAAATAGATGATATGATTTACTATATTGAAAAACAGACTCTAAAGTCAATTAAAATAAAGCTGAAATTGAAATTGAAAGCAGATGAACTGCAAGAGAAAATTCTCTGAGTTTTTCTCAGGAGTACTCATTCTCCCTTGCTCACTTATAGATATACTTCTTTCTCACCTCCCACACATTTGCCATCCCACCCAAACAAATGATACAGTTCTTAACCCTGTCAGGCTTAAAAACAGTGAGGTCCCTGGCTACATGTATATAACACACAATAACTCTATCCTTAGGTATGTGGCCAATAGCTTACACTATGGTCTTAATGCAAAGGCTCCGACATTATTGCTCAAGAGAAATGGAAAGCATGAATTAAAGTCTAGAAGATTTATGTTTTCAACTCCTATAATATACCTTCAGATCTTCAGAATAGCTAAAATGAACCTTTTAAAGACACCTCTGTACAACCAAATACATTGTAAGTGAACAGGAATTCTTAGGAAGATAGTAAGTTTTGTACTTCCTGACCATTTACATAGTTTCAATGCTCTTGTAAGTTTGGAGCTCTGTATTAGGGATATATGGTAAGATTATAGGGACTATGACCTCAGACTTCATTATTTTACAATAAAACTCTTGTCATAAATATAGCCACATAACAAAATTGAAAACAAAACCACTCTAACACGCAGAATATATGCATATCTTTTAGCATGTACTTTTGTAGTGTTTCAATAGAAACATTCACTTATTCATTTAATAAACACTTATTGAGCACCTTGGACTATGGTAGGCACTGGGGATCAGAAGTGATTAAGGCAGCCCCACTTAAATGGATATCACTGCTGGGAATGGAGGAAGATGGGTAATGAATGTTAAGTGCTGAAAGAAAGGCATGAACATAGTTCCAAAACTAGGGAAGTGACTAATCTACTCCCTAAAGGTTAGACACTCTGAAAAAATAAACTTAGAACAGCAAAATGCAAGGGATGTTAATGTTGGTGTACCCATTTTGTCTATGAGATTTGACTATAAACTTTCCTGTGTAGGTTTTTATGTATGAAAGTCCATGATAGTTTATCTTGGATATTAATTTTTTATTGGTTTTGCCATGGATACATTTATTTAACTTTATTTAATTCCATTTCATAAGATATAATTTTATATAGTCTAATGCTGTTATATGCTATGTTTACAATTTGGTTTATTAGTTTCAAAGCAGAATGCTTTTAATTCTTTGTATGCTACAGGTAACTTTGAAACAATCCATCACATAGTTCCTGTTTATTACCCACAGGTGGGTAAGCCAAAAGTAGTCTTTTTCTCTGATGCACAGAGATACCTTGCAAATGGAAATGCATCTTCAGAAAGCTCTCAAGAAGATAACCCAAAATTAGGAAGAGACCAGGTAGGTTCTTTCAAATATTTGTGCAATTTATCTTTCCGGGGGGATGCTACACCCTCACTGTCAACAGCACAGAGGAAGTCAGGCCCTTCATCTGTCTCTCCTTGTTCTCTGTTCTCAATTCTTCTTGACAAAGCACCAAAGGGAGAAAAAAAAAGATAAAGAAAAGAAAGGAAAGCTCACTGTTGGTGTAGCCGGACAGTCACACAGTTGAGGTGGAAGGACTGGTCAAGAAGAGCTGGGAGTCACAGACTAGATACACCCACTGTGGTAGGACGGGACTCCGGAAAGTCCTGGAGGCAGCAGGTAAAGATGTTATGAATGAGCAGGGATCAGATCAAAGGAGACTGAGGCCCAGCTGACGATGGGTGATTCACCAGTGAGCAGATGACTACAGACAAACAGCAAGGGCATCTGCTGGCAGGAGGAGAGGTGGGCTGCTTTCACCACTGCACCAAACCAAAGGCTCTTAATCTGGCGTCCCTGAAGGAGCCATTAGAAGTTCATTAGATCCTCAAAGGGGTTTATGATCCAACACATTAATCTAAGAATCACTGCTCTAAACTTGAGTATGTACCTAATTTAGCTCCATGCGAATCAGCTATGAGCCTCCTGATGAGAAGAACATTGCATTTTGGGTTTTAAAAGATGGTATTGCTTCAATGTAAAGAAAAGTCACGACAGAAAATAACTTCATTTATTCATAAATGTAATAGGCACCTGCTATATGCCAGGCAATACTGAATATAAAATCTCAAATGAGATAGCCCTGCCCTCAAAGATCTTCCTACAAACTAGCTGGGGAGTCAAATGTGATATAATTACTGTAGAATGTGATAAATACTATGGGAATTATAAACCAGATCCTAATACAGCCTATCAATTATTCATTCAACTTCTTTTCCATTTATAAGCAAAAAACGATTGCTCTATCGATCTTTCCAATAGTAGTCATCACAATATAATGGAAGGGCAACCGCATATTTCATTGAGAAAGTCATCAGTCAGTGGACATGCTTTGGAAGAGATTTCCTTTTTCCAGCGCTGTCTGCTGAAGATCAGGTGGGCTTGTCATGAGACTGTCTTTGCAGGGTGTTCTCAAGCGATGGAGACTTAGCATTCCTTAACGGAGCCACCTGAAGAAGACCCACGAACAACACTGTCGCACTGTCCCACCCCCGTTCCCTGAAGACTGGCTTAGGTGTGTCAGGATGGAGGCTGAAGGCAGAGGGGGTCCTGGGAGTCTGGAAAATGCTTCATTTGGGGAGAGGAGAAAAGATATATACAAGGAGTCCCAGTTTGGGTCTTGCCTCCTCTCCATTAACAAAAACAAACAAGCAACAACAACAAAAGCCCTGGAAGCTGTGTGAAAAGTTACTTTACTGCTTACCTATGTCCACTGTGACTACCACCAAAACCTTAGCCACTTTGTAGCACCCCAGGAGTTTCTTAAAGATTTACACAACTGGTGTCAATTCCACAACAGTGTTCTTGAGTTTTGTTTCTTGCCAAGCGCTTTTAAAGGTCTTGCTGGTATATCATCAAGATGTTCAAGAAAACAATAAAAATGACCACAGCCTCAGAAAACAAAGTCGCTAAACTCTATACATTGCCACACACACGAAGATCAGTTGTGAGCTGTGACACATACCACATATTCTCTGGCCCCAAGCAAAGCTCTAATCCCTAGGACTACACTGACGAAACAGCAAATAAATCCTCATTTTTCCTTACTAGGAACCTTCCATACAGAGCTAAATGCATTTTTCACTACTCTGTACTACAAAGACAGGCTCCCCTAAAAGCAGCCAGCAGAATAGAGGGGTTCCTGTGAAGAGAACACAAAGAATGTCCTGCTTCCACCACTGTCAGTAAAGTTGATTATGTTCAGTCCCAAATCTTCAGTTTTATAATGTGAAAAAAAATATTACATAAATATTTCGTTTTAAATATTTTATCTCCTTAGGTACCATTTTTACTGAGGGCATGCCAAAATAGCATTTCCTTATCACAAAAGATTTGCCTTATTAAATGGGAGTATCAGTGCTAACCTGTCTTTAGTAAAAGGTGATCCAATGTATGGTGGGATTTCATTAAGCTCTTGATACAGATATTTAGTGTGTGCCGACTGCCAACATGTATCTAATTTAGTGTAAAGCTACGAGATAATGAGAATAAAGCTAGAAGGTCATTAAATTGTTATAAACAAAATACCCAGCCCAAGCACAAAGAATAGATTTTTTTAGTTTCTAAAATGTTGATTGAAGCAATTCCTTCTTCTGGTGAATTACTTCAAGGGGGAGAATAAGCTGGCATCAGCAGGCACGTGGCCTACAGTCTCCATTTAATATTCGAGGTGGGGAGCCTGCTCAGAGGTGGAAAGGAGCTTAGAGTGCTTCTTCCAGACGCGGCCAGCGTGTGCCCCACGCTCCTTTAAGGTTCCACGCACTGGGAGCTGTGCCTGCATCCTTGTGGAACACAGTGAAGCAACATGTGTCCAACGACAGGGAAATGTTTTCTGCCTCCTTTATAAATGCGTGCAGTCTGTGCTAGTGTATATTTACACAAGCCTTCTCTCCCTACAGGGAGGAAAAAGTCAGACTCATTGACGTTGTTTTTGACCCTCAAACTGAACTTGATACTATCAATGTACACTTTAATTAAAGATTAGTTCAAAACTATTTTTTATTTAAAAGCTGATTCTGAACAAATGCCTTCACTGTTCAATTAGAAATAATATATGGTATTAAACTAAAATGCACACATGGTTGCCTCTTTCTGTGTTTGTCACAGTAAATACTTCTGACAGGTGTTTCCTCTCTTTTCAAACATGCTCAGAGGTGCTTGAGCCTTAGTAATTTAAAAATAGACATTAAATGCATTTATATCTTGTAAATAAGACCCTCTGAGAATACTGTAGAGCACTGTACAATGAAAAAATCAGATGGTTGCTTGGTTATTTAACTATCTTTCAAGCCCAAGCAATGTCAATAGGGTCAATTCATCTCTTTCGTTAATGCAAAAATACTAACTTTCTAGCTGGGTTAGAATGTCCTTAGTTTCAGATACCTTTAAGGAATGTGAGTCTCTGGGACCCATAATTCACAGGAAATGTTCACTGTATGTTATTTAACTATTTATAAAATTCCTACTATCTTCCGCTAGAATATGGAAGCATTGATTTGAGTTAAAAAGTGAACTTTACAAATAGTAAAAATAACTTGCTTTCACCATTGTTAAGGTTTAATCAGTTGCAACAACAGATCTCCTATGTACTTGAAAAAGAATGTCTAAAACTTAGAAAAATTTTTTAGTCACAAAACTCTAGGGTGATCTTATATAAATTTATTTGCAAAGCTCTAAATGCCTTTAATTTTGTTGTCTTGAACCTAACCTCAGTCTAATTGATTTTATAGGCAAAATAAACTTATGTATCAGTAATGTAGGTATCATGTTAAGATTTTGATTTGCAGTTCTTAAAGAACTCTTGAAATTAGGAAAACGCCTCTCAAAAAAAAAAAAAGCAATCATGGTAAGCAACAGTTTTAAAAATAGCCTAAGGTAGCTTTTGTGACTTCTAGTCTCAACTCTGTCAATGGCTTACTCTGGGAACAAGAGTTATGTAACATCTAGTTAATAGGAATTATATTAGTTATTTTCCATTCTAAAATGTCTATTTTGAAAGCTGAATCTTCATTACTGAAACAAAAAAAACAAGCCAGTAGAACCCTTGGAGATGAGCATACTCCCAGCCCCATTTTATAGATGGGAAATGAGCATTGGAGATGGGACCCGCAGTCACACTATTGTCATGAGGCAGAGCTGGGACTTGAATCCAGGTCACTGACTCCAAAAGCCAAGTTCGCAACTACTCTGCAAGAAGGTCTCAAAAATGCCCTCAGGTATAGGCAGGTAAAGTAAGTGAGGGGAACTGGAGAGCACATGTCCAACTAAAGGCAGCTACAGCTACATGGCTCCCAAACAATGCAGTCAGGCAGATAGGCTGAACTTGAGAAATCACACTAGCAGGCAAGCAAGATATCCAGAGTGTGAAATCACCTGATTTTAAATTATTGGATCAATTTTTTCTTAAAAAGTATCTATTAAAATAGATAAGAAAAAAATCTAGTAATGCTAACAAGGATATGGAGCAACTGGAACTCTCAGGCACTACTGGTGGGAATTCAAAAATAGCACAGCTACTTTGGAAAATAGTTTGACATATTCTTACAAAGTTAAACATAGACTTGCCACATCTAGAGTTCCATTCCTAGGTATTTTCCGAAGTGAAATGAACCTATACTCACAGAAAAATCTGTACCCAAACCAAAAATCTGTACCCAAATGTTTATAGTGGCTTATTCATATTCACGAAAAAAATGGTAACAACCCAGAGGTCTCTCGACTGGAGAATGGGTGAACTGTATACAGTATATCCGCACAATGGACTACTCAGCATTAAAAAGGAATGAACTAGTGATGCATGAAACAACAAGGATAGACCTCAAAAGCATTATTCAAGCAAAAGAAGCCAGACTTACAAGGCTACTGTATGATTCTCTGATATTCTGGCAAAGGCAGACAGAAAACAGATCAGTAGTTGCCAAGGACCAGGGGATGACTACAAAGGGTGGGCACAAAAGAATTGGGGAGTGGGGGTAATGAAATGTTCATATCTTTACTGTGGTAGTAGTTACGTGACTCTATATATGTTTATCAAATCTTGCTGAACTATATCCTCAAAAGAGTGAATTTATGTAAATTATACTTTAATTAGACAATGAGGGAAATAGTAGAAGGGTGAAAAAAGCACCAATTATATAAAACTTAGGTATGATATATATGCAATACAGTTTCTTCACTATATGTGTGATCAATTTACATTCTAGAGTTCAGATGACAAATTATTTGACCTACTTAGAAAAAAAAGACAAGTATAATTTTAAGACCTACACCACACTCTGAAATAAAATTTATAGCACTCTAAAGCCATGTACTTTCTGGAAGGCTAGACAAGAACTCCAAAGAGTGACATACTATAAAAATAGTATTTGCACTGTTAATAGGGATCAAGTTAAAGTGTGCTCTTTGTTGAGATAATAGATTAAAAAAATGTTTTGCAGATAATGAAGAAATCTACAAATATTAAATAGAGTAGTATGGTGAAAAACACAAGTGTTAGGATCAGTCTGCCTGGCTTACATCCTGTCTGCCACTTACTAGCTGTGTGACCATGGACAAGTTACTTAATCCCTCTGAGCTTCCCTTTCTCAACTGTAAAATGTAAAATCCTCAAAGTGCTTTTGTAAAGACTAACTGGAAAATAAAGTACTTTTTTGTAAAGCACTTAGCACATATAAAGAGTTAAATAAGCTTATCCGTCATTAATTTACGTAATTTTCATCTATTTTGAATTTTACTGCAAATACTGGCTTCTTGCAGGAATTAGGACTAATCTAGAATCGTTAGAGAATTCAGAGAGGCTGCTGCTTGGAGAGGCAGCAGATAGGACAAGCTTGCAGTGGTTGGACTTGTTACATCAGTCCTTTCTTCCTGACCTGTTGGGAAACACAGTTGGCCACTAGCCAGCCATTGTTAGCAGAGAAGAGCCCCAGCTGTGCCCCACCTCCACCCCACCTGTGGCAGCAATTTCAGACTCTAGCAGGCTAGGCTAAGGTGAGGATGTGAGATGTCAAAGATGCAAAATTTAAGGATCTCTAGGCACCTAATTTGCCTCACCCTAGTCCTGGCTCACCTTCTTCCAATATTCTTATTCCATACCTCTCCCAACTCATAGATTTTCCCATTCTTCCCTGTCCCAGAGGCAGGAATCTTTATGTTTCTGCTTCCTTTAAACCCTGAGAAGATTCACACAGTTTGGTGACTAATCATTAGCCTGGTTATTGTGTCCTAGATTCTGTGTTCTACCTGTTTTGGATAACTTTCATTCTTGAAATAATTTAACGCTGGTTTGTTTTTTTCTCTATTAGTACAGGAATCTCTTTGAAGAATCTGAAAGCTTAGTGACAAAAAACGAAGTACACGAAACTCACCTTCTCCATAACCCAAAAGTAAAAGAAAATCTGTAACAAAAACCGAGTCAATTCAGCCTTAAGTGATCTGAAACATTTGATTTTTCTACCTTAATAGAACTAGGTAACATCATCTTTTGTGGTTTGTAGCTTTATGGTATCTCTTTCTATGAGAAAAACCTTTTAAGTTCTTGTTTGATTTGTTCTTTATTGAGTCTGAAACACTGCTTTCCAATTACTTTAATCCTCATTACATATAATCTACTGGGGAAATGAAGATGTGCTTTCTCATTCATTAAAACAAAGTAATCTTTTTTTTGACCCATTGGTGTTTTGGTGTGCTCCTTTCTTAAGTGTAAATCTAATTACAGTGATTGAATAGGAATTGACATGAAAGTCGAGGATTATTCTGATTCACTCTAATACGACATATTCAAATACAAATGTCACCATTACTATGTACTGCTTGGTCGTTCCAATTTAAAAATCTGTTGTCAAGCATGAAATTAGATCTCCCACACACAAGAACAGATTCATGAACGATCATGTAAATTTGATAGTCTTGACCCTCAAGATTTTTAGACGTCCCGCTCTTCGAATTGTAGGCAGTGTTTCAAGCATATACTCATTAGTTGCTAGAAAACCTTGTGCGTCCCCTCAGACTCGCCTCTGAAGGTGAGGGGTCCAAGTCGCGCGGGGCCGCTGCAGGCTGGGGGCGCCGCGGGCCCCGCGCTCCCCGGGCGGGCTCCGAACCCACGTCGCGCGCGGCGCCGGCGTCCTACAGGAGCCTTGGACAGAGACCCTCACCGCACAGCCACGCTTCCCGCGGGTCCCCAAGCGCAAGACACCTCCGTCCGTTCCTCGCAGGAGGACGGGCCAGGACGAATTTTAAGTCCAAATCATGACACAGAGCGGAGGCCCCGCGGGGACAACGGAGGCGGCCGGCCGGGGCGCGCGCCCCGCGGGAGAAGCGATGTCCCGCGGTGGGGGAACTTCCTAAACTTAGTACCAGCGACCGTGGGAGCATCCGAGGGAAGGGCAGCTTCTCTCTGAGCGGCTCCCGAGCTGGTCACGGAGCACCGAGGTGGAGGGACTACCGCTGTAAGCAATGAGGACGACGTGAAACATTTACCTGGGGTGAAATTAAAGGCTAGCGCGGCGGCGCGGCGCACTCCACACTGCCTCGCGGAAAGTGAAAAGCACGCTCCCCAAAACCGCGGCGCGCCGCCTCAACTCGGCGCCGGCCTGGAGGGCGCCGGGCTCAGGCCGGTGACTCGCGAAGCCGCGCTGGGGGCCGCCAGCGCAGCGCCGGGCTCTGGCCCCGCGCGCCCCCAAGCTCGCCGGCGCGGGACGCGGTGCGCTGGGAGTCCCGCTACCGGAGCGCTCGGACGCGGGGGGCGGGGCCAGCGGCACGGCCCGCCCCCTCTGGCCCCGCCCTGCCGGACGGTTTGATTAATGACTCTCCCGCGGCGGAGGGGGCGGCTGGGTCTGGACGCCGTCCCCGGAACGACGCCTCAGGTGAGCGCGGGTCTCCGCGGTCCCGCTTTCGCGGCCTGACACCGAGCTTGGCCTCGGGGGCGCCCTCATAAAAGGCGCGCCCAGCCAGGGCTGGAAGCGGCCGCCTGTTTCGGCTGGATGAGGATGGAGTGACCGGCGCGGCCCTGGCCACGAAGACACGGCCCGACTGTCCCTGCCCGCTCGCGCCGCGGAGCAGAGCCCCGCACAGCCGCTCCAGGAAAGGTAAGGGCCCCGTTCCGATCCCCGCCGCGCCGCGCCGTCCTCGCACCTGGAGGGCAGCCGGTGCCTTAGTTGGAGGTGAGACCAGGGGTCCCCCACTCGGGGTCCCGGGCATCGGGAGCGAACGGTGCGAGGGCGGCGGCCGTCGCCCGAGCCCTCCGCGGCAGGGACCCGCAGCGTCCGTGGCTTAGCGGGAGAACGTTCCAGAAGCGCGCGCAAGTTCTGAACGCGAGCTGCGCTGCCGAGACCTTTCTTCCCCGGTTGAGCAGCCTTTTTCGTTTCATTCGTGCGTGAAAAGCGACGCCGGCACCACTCCCCCAGCCTTCCAAAGAGCCCGGGGACTCTCCGACCCCAAAGTCTCCCCAGATGCGGGGAGGCAGACACGCCCCAATTAAAGCGAAAGAGACCCCTCCCTGAGATCACCCGGAGCCCCGTCCTGCACCTCCCCGGGTAAGCCCGTCCGGCGCCCGGGGCCTCACCGCGCTTTCGCTCCTTCGCAGGGCGCGCGGCGCGGGAAGTCGCGATGGACCGCTGCAGCCCGGCGTGCAGCCCCCTGATCGCCAGCCGCGAACCCGCGCCCGCGCCCTCTGTCGCCCGCGACTCGAGCCCGGGGAGGACCGGGCCGGGGCCGGCGGGCCCGGGCGGCGGGGCGCGCTCCGGGGGAGGGCGGCCGGCGGCCGCGAACGCGGCGCGGGAGCGCAGCCGCGTGCAGACCCTGCGGCACGCCTTCCTGGAGCTGCAGCGCACGCTGCCGTCCGTGCCGCCCGACACCAAGCTGTCCAAGCTGGACGTGCTGCTGCTGGCCACCACCTACATCGCGCACCTCACCCGCAGCCTGCAGGACGACGCCGAGGCGCCGGCGGACTCCGGGCTGGGCGCCCTGCGCGGCGACGGCTACCTGCACCCTGTCAAAGTAAGAGGGCAGGGCGCACGGCGGAGCCGGGGCGAGCAACGGGGCACCTTGACTTGCCCGATCTGCCAGCGCCTAGGTAGATGCCACCGAGCTCTCCTCTCGGGGGCAGGCGGGGAACAGACAGGCAGAGCGACTTCGGGCGGAGAGGTCTGCAGAAGGCTGCTGCTTAACCATTAGAAGGTAGTGGGTTTACACCCGGGTTCGGGGTAGGGATGCCTCACGCACCTTACAGGATGCAACCTACAGGATGCCCTTCTCAGGTGAGCGGTTTCTTGGGGGTGCCTGGTGAGGTAATGGGTAATTTTTAGTCTCAGTTACATTTATGAGCCTTTAAAGTGTTTTTAATTTACATAATTGCACTTCCATTGTGTTTTTTATCAGATGTTTGAAAAGTTTCAATGCTAAGTATTCATGAAATATGGGGTAATGGAATTATCTGTCCCTGAGGAATCTGTCCCTAGGAAACCAAAGGAAAATTTTTTGTAAATCTGGTGAGAACAAAATGAGATTGTTCTGCATCCCCACAGAGTAAATTTTCAGTCCGTTTAATAAAGGTCATGGATTAGACAGCCACCAAGAGTGTTAGAAAAACTATAATGTGTTTATGTAATTTTTACAAGTAGTTTGGCATGTATGTTGAGCTGATTAAATATATATTCAAATTATGTAATGTACACAATTAGGCAAGAAAATCCGTTTTCTGTAATTTTTTTACATTACATATAGGTAGAATGGTCAGGGTTTTCATTTACTATGGTATATATGATTATGATTTATTATCTATAATGCAGTATTTAGATTCTGCATTGTCTTTTTCTTCTAGACTTGGCTGTTTCAAATCCTACATTGATCTGGCTTTCTGTTCAAAATGCGTCATCGTCCCTATATTTTCTAAACCTAAATTTTTAAATTTTGTTTCCACTATTCTAAAGCATTTTCAGACACACACACACACACAATTAGGACTTAGCCTTAAGTATTTAGTGCTCAGTAAATTATTGATAATCATTATTCAAATGTGGTAAATTACATGCTCTAATATTAACTGAACTTAAAATTCTGCGGTGAGGTTTAACAAAATTTACTTTGCAAAATATAATCAAAATGATAGACTCAAACTATTTCAAATATTAACTATAAAAATGTGAAATATCATTTATTTATAATTATGATAGACCCCATTCCATTCATGTATTATATAACAATCTCAGCTGAAAAGTCATTCATTAAGGGGTTTTGATTTCAGTGTGCCTTAGATTTCTATTCAATTATATCATTAATATTAGATTTCTTTTGACTTGATATTTCCCATATTCTCTAAGAAAGTTTTTTTTTAACATTAAGTACACTTTAAGACAAAAAGCACCTGTTAAATGCGTCTTTGTGGAAGATATATTTCAGATGAAGAAATCAAGTTTTTTACCTTAGTATCTGCAGTACTTTTTTGAATGAGTAATGTGAGAACCATAATTTTCATGTAACAATAAGCTTAACAAGAGGTGGGTTTTTTTTGCACTTGATTCATGTACCAAATATTTTTGTAGTCCCATTACTCTTTTAAGAAAAATTAAATCTCATTTGTCCTCTGGATCAATTATTTTAATTTTAAAAGACAACTCTAGGAATAATGAAACAAGGCCAAAGATTACCCCTTTGTGAAATTGATGATGGTTGAACAAGTGACTAATCTGTTTTAAAATCATTTTCTAAGTGCCTACTATGTGCAGAGCACTGTGTTAGCAGAGTGAATACAGTTAAGGGTAAGACTCAATCCCTGCCCTAAATGAACATATAATAGAGATGAAAACACATAAGGGAGAATATCATATGGGCCAAAAGAGAGCTATAATCATGTGCTGTGGGGGTTCAAAGGAAAGAGATTTTATATACATAATTAAAACCACCTGTAACATATTATTTTACAGACACTACCAAAATGCTTAAATATTAACTCTATCTTTCATTAACTTCATCCAAATAGAAATATTCTGATTATTGTGCTTTTTGGGTAACTAAAAGGTATTGTAATCCTTAATATTTCAAGGACCTTAGAACTAAACTGATTATATGATACTCCCCCTCCAAAAACAAGAAAGGTCCATTCTGAAAGAGGTACTTAGTAAATTTTTTTTTCATCACTATAGCTATTTGGTAATAAATGATATTGTTTGAGAAGCTGTTCATTTTAAAAGTGAATTTAGAAAAGTCACAATCAGAATACAAACGATGATTACTGAAAAGCTAGAGCTGTGTGATGCCAGTGCATCCAGACATTTAATCTGGATGCTCTATCTCTACAATACCAAACATTGTAACATTTGCAACCTCCAGATACTGCGTTTAGCTAGCTGAATTAGTCACTTTTCATTGTAGTTCTTTGACAAGTGCAGACACATAATACTTACCAGGTATAACTTTAAAAAATATCTTTAAAGCCAGGGATCTTACTTTAGGCTCTCGTTTTAGGTTTTAGTTTGAAATTAAAACATTGTCAGTAGATATATTTTCCTATACTTAAGTATAGTCTCCATGATTTCTTGTCCACATGTACACATATTATTTTATATAATTATAATCAAAGTCTGGGTATGTTCTTACTTTTATTGTTAGCATTAATAAACATTTTTTCATGTTGTCCCTTAGACTTCATAATTACAATTGCTACTGGCTACATAATATTGCATTTGCATTGCAATATTTGGAATTACTATTATTGCTATATTATTATTATTATTATTATTATTATTATTATTATTATTATTGATTATGTTTTATCTGTCATAGTTACTAACTTTTGGACTTGTTTATTCTTTTTCAGAAATGGCCCATGCGATCAAGATTGTACATTGGTGCTACCGGTCAGTTTCTGAAGCATTCCGTCTCTGGAGAAAAAGCAAATCATGGCACTGCTCCAACAGACTCACAGCCTTAGGCTCTCTCTCCCCTGATGGGGCTGGAAGAGAGTGGTGTCTATTGTTTTTAAATAGTGTGAAATAATTCTGTATTTATTACATCAGACATCACAAACATCATTTCCGAACATTTACACGAGTCCATAGTTGGATGTTCAGATTTGTCAGTATAATCTAAATAGATGTGGAATGAAATAACCAGTCTTGCATAAAACACACAGCTCATCTGTTCAGTGTAAGAGATAGTCGTTACTACATGGTGCAGGAAATACTACTAGAAACAAGGAAAGACACGCAAAAGCAAAAAACTACGTATTTACAGAATGCACATACTTTCTTAGCATATTTATTACAAACTGAAAAGCTAATATCTACTGATAGTCTTTCTACTTAAAAAAAATAAAAGCTGTGTAATACACTAGTATTTCATTTTTGTGAAGATCAGTCTATGCTTAAAGTTAGTCGAAGAAGCCATTTCAGTTGGCAGTTGTGAGATCATTTATTCATTTATTCAGACTTAGCTGAGTATGTTTGAAAAGACGAGGTAATATGATGATGCAGTAACTTCCATAACTAGTTCTTTTTCTCTTAGAAAACTTGCTCAGAGTATCAGAAATGGTTTGCTTCATAGGACCAGGCTTGGCCACCTTCCTAGAGGATTACTATAATAAATATCTAATTATATTTCAAAATCGTGGAAGGCATTGGGAATCCCTGCAGCCCAGTGTGAACAGATGGGTGTCACTGGGCAGCAGGGTTCATCACCCTCCTTCCCAGGCACTTTCTTTCAGGTCCTGGACTAGGCAAGCAGGTACAGCTACAGCCACCCTAAAGAGAGGAGCATGTTTGGGCCTGTTGGAGGCCTCAGGTGAGCGCCAAGTGAGCCCCGGTGACCCTCACAGCCACAGATTTGGCTAGGCTCCTTCTCCCTTCATCAATTGCTGTTCACAATCTATATGAAATGGGAGAGATATCCTGTTTGATTTGGGAATTCTGGCACTGATCTTTACTTTGAGAGCATCTGAGGACGCAGAGTGACCATCCTGAGATACATCAAGCCAGAGCATATCCTCCTCCACCCCCCACCACCCCATCCCTCCGAACTTGCCCTACTTTGAACCTACAATCAGGGAGGGCCCTGTGCTATGGGCCTCTCCCACCACGCTGCCCATCAGGTACCCGGGCAGCAGCTGTTCTGCCTGATTGCACCAGTGGTTTCATTTTTCAACAGGAGCTGGGGGTCACAGCCATGAAGCAGAGATGTTGTTCAGGGAACACTCTGAACCTCAGAGCAACAGGGTGCAGTAGAGACACCTGGAAAAAAAAAATCATCTGTCTCTTCTGTCATGTCTCTGCTGACTTAGATTCCCTTTTCTCTCCCTTTCTTGTTTTTCTCCTTAGTCTACTATTCCACTTTCCAACTATAAAGCTCAGTTATTTCTCAAAAACCCAGTTTTAAAGGTGCTGAATCTCATCCAAGATTAGCAAATAGAAAGGCATATTAATGGACGTGGTTGAATTAATACAGCATTTGAACCGCCACTTTATTTTCTCCCCACCTCAGTTTCCTTCCAGGTTTTGGCAGTGAAATGAAGTAAAAGAGCGTTTAAAGACAAAAACGATCACTCAGTTAAAAAAAAATAAGTAACTAAACAAAACTATCATTCAGTTAAAAATAAAGAAATAAAATCATCATTTAGTTGATTCAGCTGAACATGACCATGTTTTTGGCTCATATCTGACTGTAATTGTTATTATTTTAATGTGAATATCTCCTTGTAATGTGATGGAAGCATGTCTTTAAAAGAAAAGATATATAATAAAAGCTTTGTACATATTAATATGGAGCAAAAATGTTTGTATAGTTAAACATTTGTGAATATGTTTACTCATATAACATTGAAAAGGATAAAAGGTAAAATGAGATGGATTCAGCCATTCACTATAGTAAGTTATTGGCATAAAAAGAGCTAAGAATAAATCATCTTTTAAGGAATGACATCAAAACTTCTTTAAAGACACCAGAAAATGAACTTTATATAAACACTAAATTTGATAGCAAGAATTTCATAAAAATGGCTTTCTTGCTAATAATCTATTTGGCTGCAGTTTTTAAAACATTTAATTGGGGAAAAATTATGACTTACTGAATTATCAGACTTTTTAAAATCATCCTGTTAAACACATAGTTAAGTTTTGCCTTTCACAGTATTACTTTTTATTTCTTCTTGTCCATTTATTATACAAAGGTTTTAATGCCAAAGAAGGATATTTCTGCCATAGGTCTTCAAAGCATTTTAGTAAATTGCTAAATATGCTAACAGCTTTTGGTAGGTTGGAAAATCTCAGAGGAGAAATTGCATATTTTCACCCAAAGTTTCAAGGGAGCATGCTGTTTTAATTAATGGTGCATGGTCAATAGAAAGGGTGTTACTAAAGTTAAATAAAGTACTAATTTGAAAATTTAGTCTGTTAAATTTGCATCTGTCTCTATGAATATTTAACAAATACTAAAGGTAAATTTGAAAATCTTTCTAGTAGATATCTACTTGGCAATAGCTTCTTCACCAGGCTGTCCTTAATGGAGTATATATAATATTAAGACTGGGGAGGGGGTATATTTGGATCATAATATTGGGCTGTCGGAAAAGTCATGATGTATTTTTTCTATGTTTTTCGTTGCAAAAATGCGTCATGACTTTTCCGACAACCCAATATTATCCTATAATCTGCAAGGGAGATCCTCAGTTAAATTTGTCAGTTTACTCAGCATTCTCAGTGATATCATATACATTTAAATTCCTCTATAATGATAATTTTGGGGGATAAGGGAATGCCTTTTTAGGGATATTTTCAACAAACTTAAAATATTGTTGATTTCTCTGATTATAAAAACAGTTTATTGTACACCAATTTTACATCAATAAAGCTATATTAAAAGTATATGCACATGTGTTTTAAAAAATAAAATTAGTAGTAAAAGGAATGAAGTAGAAAATGAAAGTCCTACAGTGGAGATTGGTGGTTGGGATAGAGTAAAGGTGCGGCTATCTATCCACATGTTATTTGGTAAATAAGAACTCTGCATTTTTAGAAGGCTTTTTTTGACCCAACTACTTTAATCTGCAGATTTACAGATATCCCTAACAGTGATTTTCTTATCTATTCATGGAAATTTTATTTACACTTAGAAACTGTGCGAAAATAAAGTAAATGTTAATTGACATTATTGAAATGCACAGTAATTATTTCCGTTGAAATTGCTTTTTAGGTAAATTATTCAATAATTTCCCTGTCTCTCCAAGGGCCCCATTTTATATTCATGAATGCAACTACCAGTTATTATCAATTAAAATGAAAGTATTCAGGTTCTAGTAAGGTCTATTTTTTTTTTGAGTGGGGAGAGGTAACCCTATATATATTTTCCAGCACAATATTTAACCATTTCTTTAGGCCTCAGTATGTCATAGTGCCATTCTGAGGAAATAAGCCAAATAAGCAGTGGCCAACATGATTCCCTTAGAAATCAACACATGAGTTATTTGGCATCATTATAAGACAAGTTGCTTGTTGACTCTACGTAAACTGTATTGTTCTTAGCTGGCAGGGAGAAGAAATTATAAATCAAACGGATTGCCTTGATCCAAATTTACATATTAGATATTTTGAAAAGATGGCTTAATCTAAAGGCTCTTTCCGAAAGCTATTGCAGATTATATCGATCATGTATTTTATTTGAAAAGCTATGAACTTTGACTCTTCTAACGCAGGCACATCTGTGTTTATCTGATGACAAAATCCTTTTTTTTTTTTTTATAATCATTGCTGGAGGATGTGATATCTACAGTTTCCCAGATGACTGACATCTAGTAGTGTACTACTGCTGTCTTTACGGTACACACTCTTGATTTTTTAATTTTATTTTTGTTGTTATTGTAATGTTAAAAATATCTAAAAACTAAGATCCGAAGTTTTCAAAGGAGCGCTAGGGAAATGTTATACAATTGTGTATCTTAGAGAAATTAATATGTACTTTTGTTTTGTTACATACTGGTAGCTGGTGGTCTTATATATGACTATGTTAATGAAAACAATAAATGCCCCTTAAATCCTATAGATTTGCTTCCGTGAACTTTGAGCGCGGCCCAGATGGTACTGAGGCACAGTGGGGACTGAGGGACATTAAGTATTCTTGCCTAACTACAGAAACCCGGGAAACGCTTCCCTTCCTATGTTTACACAAGTCTTAGTTTCAACTCATAAGAGAAACTCGCTCAGTGAAATCTACCTCCATCACTCAAACTCTTTCATTATAAATTATACCATAGCATTTAGCTGTCAGAAGCTTTTAAATTATAAACTGAAAAATAATCTTAACTATTAGGCTTAAAGATTATGTCAATAGTCATTTCCTGTGCATGTGAATGTTACTGAAGAAACTCATGCATTTCTGCCCTCTCAGGACTCAGAAATATGTCCCCAGGGAGCACTGGGGATGGACTTAAATCACTGGTCTCCGTTTTTATGGTCATTGGAAACTGGGGGGCATTTAAAACAATGTGAGGTCTAAGCAAGAATTGATTTTAAACATTCTTGTTTTCAAATAAGTTCTGAAATCATTTGATTTAAAAATTCTAAATGTGTGCTATTGTAAGGCATCTTAATACTTTACATAGATGGGTATCATGTGGGTCAATTTTTTTTAAAAAATTAACTTGTATTAAAAAAAAAAAGCCTGTGTAAGATTGTTTCTACCCTATGCAGCACATCTGTGCCTCTCACTGACTGTAAGACTTTATACCAGAGTCATCTTGAAAGGTAGGCTACAAGCAAGTGAAAAAAAAAGTGGCGTGCAATGGTAGGAACAGGAGAGTTGGGAGACGGAAGAAGGTGGGAAGTGGGAAGCTATTTCCAGATCCTCCAGTTCCACCAGTGCCAAATCAGGCTATAAGTGTGATAGTCTGGGACACAGAGGAGAGACAGCCTTGAAAAGGAGACCTGACTTCAGGACAAGACCAGAACAAGAAAAGACGCCGCTCATGCAGGACCACATCTGGCCTGAGAAGTCCAGAGAGCTGTGACTCACTGGGGCTCAGGAAATACTAGGCCCAGGTAGCTCTATTTCCCTCTCCTGTCAGCCAAGGCCAGAGGCTGGACAATGTCTAGAGTGGGAATGGCTTGATCCAAGACAGAAACTTGTCACCCTAAACAATAAGTGCTGGTCTTCCTCTTTTCCCCAACCATGCAACACCCCCCCCCTCCGCCCGCACCCCCACCCCCACCCCAGGCTTACGGCCACTCTGGGATACACACTTTGATTACATGAGTGCCCTCTCTTCCTTTGTTGAAAGGAAGCAGAGCTTCCTGCAGAAATGAATTATGGGGGGTGAATGGTGGGAGGTGAGAGCCTGATACTCATCTGCCTTCAGTCAAGCTTGAGGACGTGGGGCACAGGGATGCAAGAAGGGGTGGAAAAAGAAACAGATTCCAGAGAGACCTAAACCCCACTTCCTTATAGGGGATGGGCTGGGGAACACCCATGTGAATAAATTTCCTTAGGGCATGCAGTAGCTTACCAAGAAGAGGGGAGCATCTATATTTTAAGTTACTAACCTGATTTAGTAGCCTGCAGCCTCCCGTACTCACTGAGTTATGGGCCTCGGGGTAAGGGGAGAATCCTTCTAGAATGAAGTCATTGTACACCTTTGAAGTTACAAAACTGACTTAAGACTCGCTAGCAAGATACTGAACCTAAAATTGAAACTTCATTAAGAGAGAAAATGGAATTCTAAATTCCAAATGGTGCCTTCTAGGTATATGAGAGAAGATCGGAGGTCTACAGATAGAGGTTTACTCTAAGTGGTAACAGAGTGAGGGGAGAGTCCGGCCAAGGGGCAGGCAGGGACAATGGCCGCAGTGCAGGCATGGCTGTCATCTGCCTTGGTGGAGTGGGGAAGTGTGAGGCAGCAAAGCAATGGAGACATGGCTGGCCTTGCCTCACTCCTCTAGACAAAGCCTGGGAGGATGCAGACTCTCAGAGGAGCCCTGGTTCCACCCAGAGCCACAGGGACAGGGCGTGACAGGCAATGGCCGAGGGCAGAGCCTGAGGGCAGGGGGCACATTGCAGCCAGGGGCACAAGCCGCTGACAGTACCCAGGCCACGCTGCCAGGAATCAGGGAGATGGGAGAATAGGGGGCCCCTCAGAACAGGAGGCTGTAAGCTCGACTCAGGGCCTCAGCAGTACACCAACACAACATGAAGTAATACACACTCCGTCAGTCAGGTCTAGATCCAGAGGACGGGAGGCATGGGAGCCTGCGGTTCCCCGCCACCTCCTTAGATACATAACTTCTCCGTACAGCTAACCAGGGATCCAAGGGCAAGGGCAGGTAGGAAGCCCGTGGAGAGGGGAAACAGCCCTGATCGAGTTTCAGCTTCCACTTGGCTGCATATTTAACAGTCTGCCTGTCTGGCAGATGTTTTTCCTCTTCAAGGGTAGGGATTCCAGAACAAGACAAGATTGGATATAGGACATGAAAAAAGCTACTTTATTTTCCTCACATTTGAGTCGTGGTGTGGACATTTTAATGTATTTACACCATCGAGATCGACTATCTGCACTTAACCTACTTATACCATCGAGATTGACCATCTGCAATTTACAACTTAATTGTTCAGTATTCCAGTTTTTTGGGGGAGTTTTTTACCTTATAGTTTTGAACACACCTAAATGAGTGATTGTGAAGATGCTGAGGACATTCGTGGACCTTTGCAAATGGATTAGGAAAATTCACAGAGTGTAAAAAGCTTGCCCAGGCTTGTCCACTTTACTCATGGCAGAGCCACATTCAAACTCAAGCAGTCTGGCTCTGAGGGTGCTTCCTATCTGCTCTACAAAGCTGCCTGTCCAGTTAGCTGGCCTGGGTGCTTCAGGCACTTCAGTTTGCTACCCCCAGTCTGGTGGGAAAACAGCCTCCTTTGCTGCAGGTCTCTCTCACTGTGATAAGCATTTGTCTTAGGGTTTGCCCTCAAAAAATTGCCCTTGCCTTTTCGCCCTCTTCCCCTCAGCTCACAAAGTTGATGAGAAATAATAGCTGAGAAAATGCTGGTAGGCAGCTCAGTGCAAGTCGGGCATGTCTTGTCTGGCTGGTTACCGCTATTAGATGAAGAATTAAAGGTGTCAAGGTGAAGCACAAAAAAACCCAAGAAGCCACAAAGGAAAAGAGGGGTCATTTTGACTACACAAAAATAAATTCATAGAACAAAAGAAAAAATCACAAACCAGGTAAAAAGACAAAAAGCAAGATAGCAAAATAAATTCAGAACATAATGATAGCCACAGTAATTTCCTTTATATAAAATTGGCCCTCAGAATTTAAAGACTAGCAACTCAGAAAATTCTGCAAATAGCACAAATAACCACTTTATTGGGTTGTCGGAAAAGTCACGATGCATTTTTGCAAAAAACATTGAAAAAAATACGTCATGACTTTTCCAAAAACCCAATATATAGTAAGAAATCAAATGGCCAATATCTTTAGGAAAAGATACCCAAACTCACTCATGATTAAGAAACAGAAATTGAAACAGCAATGAAATAACATATTTCACCTATCAGTATGATATAAACTATCCAGTTATAAGTTTTGGGGTGTAATGTAAAACATGGTGACTAAAGTTAAGAACACTGTATTGTGTATCTGAAAGTTGTTATGAAAGTAGATCTTCAAGGTTCTCATCACAAGAAAAAAATTGTAACTATGTGAGGTGATGAGTATCAACTGAACTTATTGTGGTGATCACTTCCCAACACATACATATGTCAAATCATTATATTGTATGCTTTAAACAATGTTATATGTCAATTATATCTCAATAAAACGGGGGGGGGAATGGTTAATTGGACTAAAATTAGTTGATGACAACTAATTTTCTGGCATATTGGAGTTAACTTGCTTTAACCAGACCCATAATGTTTAAGCGTGTATGTTTTTGATGAAAATAAAACTCTGTAATTTTTATCCTCATGCCTTCCTCTCCCCCAGCCCCTCATGTAATATTAAATGGAGGAATGTGCAAAAAATAATACAAATTAAAAACACCCATTATTGGTGAGGATGGGGAAAAGAGGACTGTTGCACTGTTGGAGTGTAAGCTCTTTTAAATACAATTTGGCAGTATCTCGCATTATTTTAAGTGTACGCACTCTGACTTAGCAATTCCACATTTAAAAATTTCCCTAAAGATACACTTACATTCACAAATGTATATAAGAATAATTATTATAGGTATTCATCATTTTTTACCTCACAATTGGTAGATTGAACAGTTTTCCCTGCCTTCAGTATTGGCTGCACCCACGTAACCTGTCAAAAATGCAAACCTGAGGATAAAACACACCTTTTCAAACTGCATCAGTGGTTTCCTATCATCTAAGGGTGATGTCTAACCGCTTAACTTGGCCTATAAAACCCCTATCTGTTGGGTTGTCGGAAAAGTCATGACACATTTTTACAACGAAAAACATAGAAAAATACGTCATGATGTTTCCGACAACCCAATATATCACTGCCCTTACTCTTAGCCACCTCCTACTTGATGCCTATACTTGAAGTTGTAGAATACACACACACACACACACACACACACACACACACACACACAAACACACTCTGCTATTTCATGCTTCAGTGCCTTTGTTCATCAATCATTACTTGGTCCACAAATATTTATGTAATACTATGGCACACATTGTTCATTGCTTACTATATCAGTTAGGAATTGCATTCAGCTGCTAGTAAGAAAGACCCAAGCATAGTGGCTTAAATAAATTAGGACTTTATTCTTTCATGTAAAAAAAAATTCACAAGTGGTAAGATGGCTTTATAAAATTTTCAGGGACCAAGGCTTCCACTTATTTCTCATGGGCCAGGTCACCCCAAGTGTGAGGGAGGTGTATTTATCACCCTGGGTTCGGTTAAGGTATCTGCTCCAGCTAGTTGAAAAAGAAAGGATTATAGGGTAGTAGTGACTTCCAGAATCATTGGGATGAAGGAAACTTGAGCAGAATTTATAGGAAGAATTTCCAAAGTCAT